CCCCACAGCCCTGAGAGTGCTCCCTGACCCCCCAATGTGTTCCTTCAGCCTGGTTCGCCCTCCTCACCCCTTCACCGCTCTCTTAAACCTCGCTTCGCGTTCCCCTGTTCTTTGTCTCCTTTTACAGGCGGCCACTTTGTCTCCGTGCGTTACTCGTCGCCTCCCCTTCCTCCTCAGTCTCTGGATATTTCGCCTTGGGCTTGAATTGCCCCCTTCTCCATTTGTGTCATCATCCCCTGCTTCCTTCTTTTCCTCCGCAGTGTACCTCCTCCTGCCTCTTTTTCTTCCCCATGGCTAGCCTTGCACACGCAGCTACGGCTGCTGGTGTGCAATGGGGCCTCTCTCCTGCACATTCCTCCGCTTCTGCTGGAAATTCGCCCCACCGGCTTTCTGCATTGCCTCGCACGCCAATATCTGGTTCAATTCGGCACGAGCTGCTCGGTGATGCTCTGTGCTTTCGTCCTCTGCCTATTGGGACCCCGAAATCCAAATTAGCTGCAGCTGTCCGCAACGCTGTTGCTACTGAAGAGCTTCCGCAAGGTAGTAATTTGCGTCCATCTCTCCTCTCCTATCCCATACTCATTTCCTTGATGTCCATCTTTAGTCCCAAATTTCATTTTTTACCGCCTTGTTGAGGCCACTCTGAACTTGAATATGTTTTTCCTTCCTCTACCCTCCTATATCAACTGATTAATGGAATTAGTTGATTGGTACTACGTCAATTCGAAAATTTCTGTTCTGTTGGTGCATTTTTTGCTCGACTTACTGGGGTGAGTGTTGCTTGCCACAGTCACTAACAAGAAGATGAGCTTACGAAGCGATATTCGGAATATTGCTATTGTCGCACATGTCGACCACGGAAAGACTACGCTAGTTGATGCCATGCTTCGACAGGCTAAGGTACTAGCTTGTCAGAACAGATATACAAGTCTAGGTTCAGCAAGGTCGTTCGTTTCGAGGCTTGAGTTGGACCTCCACCCTTAATCGGCTTTGCTCTGGTTGGTCTGGGGATGGTCACGTCGTCAGATACTAACTTATTTCCCATCTACCTTGGAATTCTTAAGGTTTTCCGTGACAACCAATCCGTTCAAGAGCGCATTATGGACTCCAATGACCTGGAGCGCGAAAGAGGAATTACCATTCTGAGTAAGAACACTGCTATTCGATACAAAGGGACTAAGATTAACATCATTGATACACCCGGGCATTCAGACTTTGGTGGTGAGGTGGAGCGAGTGCTTAACATGGTTGATGGCGTGCTCTTACTGGTAAGTTGATTATTATCGATTTCCTCCAAGCCCTGTGTACTGTGACCAAATGAATGAGATGATATGTGGTTGATGTTTCATGAACTGGAATGATGTAGTTGCTTTTTCAAACCAGGTCGACTCGGTGGAGGGTCCAATGCCCCAGACCAGATTTGTATTAAAGAAGGCCCTGGAGCTTGGCCAAACTGTGGTTGTGGTTGTAAACAAGGTGGACCGACCTTCAGCGCGACCCGACTACGTCGTCAACACCACCTTCGAGTTGTTTGTAGAACTGAATGCTTCTGATGAGCAGGTTCGTGCCAATTCCTCATTGTTGCTAAAATACATCTAATTATGTAGGGCAAGAATTTAGTATTTTTCCACGCCTACGTTGTCGTACAGGACTGAGTCTGCCCCATTTTTGTTAACATGCGAGATTTAGTCGTGTGATTTAATGAAAGTCTTGTGAGTTTTGCAGTGCGACTTTCAGGTTGTGTACGCCAGTGGCATTCACGGGAAAGCTGGTTTAGAGCCAGACCAGCTTGCTGACGACCTGGAACCGCTATTCGAGGCAGTGATCAGGTGTATTCCAGAGCCCCGGGTTGATATTGAAGGTCCTCTCCAGATGCTTGTAAGTGGTTTTACCGTGTGCTTGTGTTATCTCGTTTATAGGTTTGTATCTTGGATAGATTGCTGTGGAGAGAGATTTGTTGTTCAAATGTCGACGTAGACCTGAAATCACTGCGAATTCATCAGGCATCATTGACTACAATGGTGATGGCGCTGGGTATACCATCTAATATTCTCTTGGAGTGCCGAGCATCTTCGAATCTGACGAACGCATTTTGAGTGTTTTGAACTCTGACATTGTGAGAAAATAATTCTATTCTTTCTTCTTTCTTCATCGCAACAGATAACAAACTTGGATTACGACGAACACAAGGGTCGAATTGCAATTGGACGCGTTCATGCTGGGCGTGTGAGGAAAGGGATGGAAGTGAAGGTGGGGTCTTTGCGGATGTCTATGTTGTCTGGCAGGGTGGGGTTTAGGGATGTTTGGGTTTTTTTTTTTTTTCACACCAACCATGTTCCTGAATCAGAAATTATCGTGGGAAGTAGAGGCCTACGTTTCAATCTGCCAGTGAAAGGGTGAAATATTTTTGTTCAGTTGTGGCGATCACTCACTCAATTTGTTCTGCCAACTTATTACAGAACCGACAAACGATGATTGTACAATACTGTGAGGGGAGATATTTTTACTCAAGTTTGTCTACTGTGATCTCCCTTGCAGAGGATATGTGGTTGATGAGGTATTGATTTTGTTCCATGCAGGTCTGCACCCCGGACGACCGTTGCAGAAACGTGAAAGTCAATGAGCTTTTCGAGTATGATAATTTTGCCCGAGTTCCTGCTGATGTGGTGGAGGCTGGAGATATTTGTTGTCTCTCCGGAATTGATGATGTTTTGGTACCGCCTCTCACTGGCTTTTAACCCAACATGTTGCATTGGTTTTTCCACCTTCTGTCAGATCTCAACAAGTTTTCTGTTCACTTTGCTAGATTACCTTTGCTTTGTGCCCAGGGTTTAGATGTTTTGCCACGGCTGTAGACTCTTTCTTTCGCTAAATGATGTGTTGTGTAGCAGTCAGTGCCCTCGTTATGCATGGTTTATGCATGCCCTCGTGATAGGGCTGGGTGCAAATGTATTTGTTAAAGTTCGTTATTTTATTTTCGTTTTAGTTGTTAATCATGGAAGTCCTTTGCATGCGTCGAGCGCTGTGCTCCATGCTGGTGCAAGGTGATAAGATTGTCCACACTTTCGGATAATTATTGGGAGTCCCTTAATCCTTATTTTGCACGTTGAACAGATTGGAGAGACACTGGCGGACAAGATAGATGGGGTAGCACTGCCAACCATTACAGTGGAGGAACCTACTGTTAGGATGTCTTTTTCTGTGAATACGTCGCCTTTTGCTGGACGAGAGGTAATGAAGATGATGTGTTATATTTTCCCCCTATACTTCATGCAACAGAATTGTAATTGTAGTTGTGGTTCTTTCCTTGGGGGTGTTATTAATCGTAATTGGTATGGACAAATGGTTCGCATGTTTTCAGGGGAAGTATGTGACAAGTAGGAATCTGAGAGATCGGCTCTACCGGGAGTTGGAAAGGAACCTGGCCATGAAGGTAGAAGATGGTGAAACTGCCGACACTTTTATTGTCAGTGGTCGTGGAACGCTGCACCTCACAATCCTTATAGAGAACATGTAAGCTGACAGGCTACCTTGTGCGCGTCGGTCTACGTTACAGTTGGAACAAGTTTTATTTCAGCTTTTGTCAGTTTACTTCCCTGCCTCTGTGGTGTCTGGTGTTTATTGTGGCACTGGTGTTCTGGCAGGAGGAGAGAAGGCTACGAGTTCTTAATTGGTCCACCGAAAGTCATCAACCGGGAGCTAAATGGGAAGAAGCTTGAGCCTTTTGAGGTAAAGACAGTGAATTTTACGCCGATTGAATGACGAATGCATGAGATTTGCATACTGGACCTCTGCAATCATCTGACTGAGGGATTTTTTACAGCCAGTGCCTTTGTATCGTAATGGTTTGTAGAGATATGTGTGCATACTGTGTATGTTTGGAATGTGTTTGCGTATGTGTCCTCTCTTTGCTATCATCAATATGTGTGAAAAAGTTTTTGTTAAAGGTTGTGATATCCTGCAGGATGCTACTGTGGAGGTTCCTGAAGAGTATGTGGGAGCAGTTGTGGACTTAATGGGCAAGCGTCGGGGTCAAATGCTGGATTTGTCAACCACCGGGTAAGGTTATCATATCGTCTGCTGGTCCTTTAGTGGCGAAATGGCGTAATCAGCATGCTCTCTCTGCAAGTTTTTCTGTTGATTTCGCAGTTGCAAGTGGCATTTTCGTCATATGGTTTGGCCATGTTTGTGCTTCTGTTAATAAAGAGGAATGGTCTTCTATACTATCATGAAACGGTTGAATGAACAACTCAGATCTTGATTAGTTTGCATGAAGTTAACCGAATGGTGGGAATGCGCGGTACTGCAGGATGGAGAATACCACGCTGGTGAAGTACAGGATTCCAACTCGCGGTTTGCTTGGTCTACGGAACGCAATACTCACTGCCTCCAGGGGCACTGCTGTGCTTAACACTATCTTTCATGGATATGACGTGTGGGCTGGAGATATAAGTACTCGTGAGCAAGGATCTTTGGTAAGAACAATTCTACAGCCTGCCGTACATGAAGTCGCTGAGAATATTTGAAAATAATTTATTCCATTGATTTGGTAATGAATGGAGGGCTTTACGTTTCATTGCTGGAGTAGAACAATGTGATAAAGCAATCTTTCCTCGTCGGCAAGTCGAATAAAGCAAAGGTAAAAGGGTACAAGTCTCCGCAATTGTGTTTTGAGATAAGTTTATGTTGGAACAGGTTGCTTTTGAGACTGGACCTACAACTTCGTACGCCCTTTTCAGTTGTCAAGACAGAGGCAACCTCTTTCTGGGCCCTGGAGTAGAAGTCTACAAGGGCCAAATAATTGGAATTCATCAAAGACCTGGTGACTTATCTCTAAATGCCTGTAAAAGGAAGGCTGCAACCAATGTGCGCTCAAACAAGGAAGCTACAGGTGAGAATTTTACGTGGTGACCGCATGGGATCTCATGGTATACCGTAGTGTGTCGTTTTGTGTCACCTGCGGTCATGCCTTTTGTAAGTCATGTTAAAAGTGTGTGAACAAGGAATAACTATAATGAGGTAACTAATGTATGTGGTGTGTTTTACGTTGTGTGCAGTGGTATTAGCGTCCCCTATAGAGCTGAGTCTGGATGATTGTGTGGAGTACATTCAAGAAGATGAGCTCGTGGAGGTCACTCCCCTCAGCATTCGGATGTGCAAGAATGCCAAGATGCTGCAGAAGAAGCGTTAGAATGGAGGATCTTTTGTATTTTTGGTATGGTTAGGTGTAGACATTCCTGGAAGTAGGATTATTTGCGAAGAACTAGTACGCCGTTTTACGTTGTGAAATTCAGGTTCTTTTAGTTCTTTATTTTTTTATTTTTTCGTCGATAGCATCGTATGTAGGGACATAAGTCTTATTTATGGAAATTTGAGCTGATTTCTTATCCCTGTAATCTGATAAGGGGGTGTTACATTAAGGTACTTAGAAATTTTAGAGGGATTGGTACTCAGAGGAGCATATTATGCAGTGCGTAGCACAAGTAATATGATGTTGACAGAAGTTGGGCCGATATGTTATACGGCTGACTTAGATATAGAATCGTGAATGAAGTTGATAGAGCTTTAGAAGGTGAGTAGGAAGAGGTGATCTGTTAGTGTAAAACGCGTTGGAAAGTGTTTAGGATAATACCCTCGGAACACACGTCAGGAATGACCGGTGTTGTGACTATGTCTTGAACAAGTTGGGTTGCAACAGGCGGGTTCACAGGAGAATTTCTGTCGCTTTATCAACTCCTGTTCACAAAGATTATAAAAGGACAGTGTATTGATGAAAAATCGAATATTAGATATTAATTATAACGTGAATAACTTAACTGGGCAGTTATCAGAAGTAAATATCTTGGTTATGAAATCATCTTGCTTCATTCAAAGCTTCTTTTTTATACAGAAGACAGGCAAAGTAAATCGTGAATTGGTGTTGTGAGCATTTTGACGGTGTATCTCCAATCATTGTTTTGAAGATAAGTTTGAGATAGTTAAATATTCCTACTACACAACATAATGTGATCTCTTTCATCTGCTTAACTGCTCCGATTCTAAGCATCACAGTTCAAACCACGCAATGTTGTGGTTATGCAGTTGGACCTTTGTTTGTTGACATGGCAAGATAAATTTTGAGAATACATCTACTAAAATGCGTATTGGAATTGTTGTAACAAATGCTCATTACATCCCATTGCATCTATTTGTGTCACAGTATTCTTCTATTTGATACCCACCTTTCACAAAGAAACGATTGAATGTTTTCAAGTCATGAGACATTGAAATAGATCTATAAAGAAGGAACCCTTCTCATAATTTACAAATATGTTTTGAAAAGAATTTGGCTATTAGCAAATTTGTTCGATGGTAAACACATTATTTCTATTCTTATTCTTTTTTAACTTTTTAAAATAAAAATGGGGTATATTCAATGTATTAATAGAGTAGAAAAGGTACAATAGACAACTTAACTCATACTCAAAGACAAAATTAAGAGTACAATGAGCATGGAACAATTATCAGAGTGAGTTCATGTTTACTTTTATATATGATCACACCACATTGAGATACTTTAGAGTTCTATGGAATTACTTTATCATTTCTAGAATCTAAAGGTGTTTAGTTATCGATGAGTTATTCCATCTCTTAAAAAGAGAAGACTTGTGTTGCAAGTTTTTTTCTAATTTCTTTTTGACAAATTTCCAACAAATTTGTCCATATTCTAGAAGACCTTTCTAAACTAAGCTTCTAGTCTACTGTGTACACCATACTTTCTTTTTGAAGACAATTTTGTTTCTTTGAATCCAAATAGTCCATAGACAAAGACTTCTTAGTAAGGACCAATTCTTATGAAAATATTTGAATTTGGAGAGAAGAGCTTCAACAAAAATAATTTGTTGCCAATTGAAGAATTCATAATATACTCTATCAAACTTAGCACAAAGCTACTTCAAAATAATCTCTTCTACTAATTTAGTGGCACACAAATAGAATTCTCTCTTTGGTCAAGGCTATTCTTTTAACTGGAAAGATATTAAGTCCAACCCACAATCCCATAAAGAGGCTGTGTTCATTTGGCAATAATTTGTAATCTTTTTTCATTTCATCTTGGGATCATACTTTCACTACCCAAGGTTTCAAAGTAAGGCTCCAAATTTAATAAGCTGGTTGCCATTGCAAGGCTTAAAAATTGGGCATCAAGCAGATAAATGTAAGTGGTAGATTTCTGGTGTTTGGAAGGAAGGAAAGACGAATGACCCACTGAATTATCAAGGGAGTTACACCGGGTAATAATAATATTTAATATTTAATATTTAGAGAGGATGCCCTCAACCCAATTGTCCGTAGGTCCCCACCCACAGCTGCCACGTGGTCCATCACACTTGTCGCCGCCATGGTTCGTTGTGCCACAATGGAGCCCCTCTCTCTCGCTCGAAGCCCGACAAATGGAGTACTGCTGTTGCTGCTTCCCAACTCCTCCAATGTCTTCATTTCATTTGCAGTAAGTAGGATTCGGTCTCGAAGCCGTCATTCCAATCTTCCCACATCCGAAATCACTCCGTCTTGGCCTCTCTCTCTCTCAGTTCCCGCATATTTAAGGTAAAGGACTTTCCGAGATCCACATGTGGAGCCTCTTCTGAATCCGTCTCTAGAACCCTGACTTTTGGACCCTAAGATCCCTTTCGATTAGATGGGACGGCATCTGGGGAAGTTTGATAAAGCCTTGGCCCTTTATTCTACTGCAAGAAGTCTGTATCAAAGATTGAGTTTAATCGAGACCCATTTCTAGTAGCACATAGCAATGTGAGCAATTTCTAGAAGCAAAATGAAAAATATAATAAAATGAATAAACAAATCTCATGTTTATGTCCGCTTGAAAAATAAGTGCTCGTGAAGCCAATAGTGTTATCTAGCATGGCTATCCAGGTTGTATCTTTCCTGTAAAGGGGTCCTCAGTGCATGTGCAGGAAAGGATGTGATTCGGAACCCGGAGGCCTTGGAGATGTTTGAGGAGGCCAGTGACGACAACGTGGAAGAAGAGGAAGAGGCTCAAGGTCCTAGTGAGGACGAGGAAGATCCGGTCGAAGAAGAGGTAAAGAGTGAGTTTCCAATGCTCACTAATTTTTGCTTCATCTGTAGAGTTCAATATCTCATTTGAAGCTACTTTTGCTTACCTTGTTGGAAACCTTCGTCCAGGCAATGAGAAAAAGAAGAGGATGAAGAAGCCCCGATCTCCAACCACCGTGAAGGAGAAGCCAAGGCCAAGGAAAGTCAGAATGGCGAGGTGTCGGTCGGTAGAGAGTAGAAAAATCGGTGGATCTCGGAAAGTCCTTGCATCAGAGACCATGAAACACAAACGAGACTTGGCATGATCTCAAAGAAGTCGAAGTCAATCTTGAAGAACGCACACAACAATGTGGACTTGAGAAAAATCGAAAACAGCGAAGGCCTTAAAAATTAAATCCACAAGTCAGGGGGTCAATGATGTTGAGTGGGAGGGCGCCGAAAAGTCAGTCGCATGGCTCTTCACAAGAAATAGCTCCTCACGGTTTGCCGCATGAAGAAGCTTCGGAGCTAAATTTAGCGGGTGTCACGGGATCGAGCTGCTCTCTACTTAATGCAGTCACTCGACAGAATTGTAGCCGATATAGAGTCTTTGATACAAACCCTAGAACCTATGTTGCTAAATGGATGATTTTGTATTTACCAAATTCCCTTTGAGTCTCTCCGTTTCAGATGTACAACCATTTGTTGTTTGGTCTGCAGTTCTCGTGCGTGAAGTCGAGTCTTCTCATTGCCAGCTCTTGAGTTAACATGGCTTGTATTTGCCTCATGGCGTGCATGGCGATCATTCCCCTATTGCAACTATTGAAGTTGCTTTCTTCGTATCATTAACACAACACCGCACAGTGCCGAAGGATTGACTTGAGCTGTGTTCAATAAGATCAGCAAGACAGTTGAAAGTCCTGTAGAAGTTAGTCATGAGCTCATCGTGACGTCCCCGGTCATCAATTAACAACAAAAGCTGGCTCACATGCTCAAAGCCTTATTGAAATCCGGCATCTAAGATATGATTTGCTCGTACCCCTTTCTCTAAAAGGTCATCAATATTTGCAACTTCGTGAAAGAACCTTGCTGTGCATGTCGCTTCGTGGGACCACTCCGCAGGTTTTTAGTACTTGCGCCAGCACTGGCAGTGACGGCCCTAACTTCTCCGACTGTATACTATTAATACTCAATATTATCAATTTTCTTTCATCGTTGGATCTATTTTGAATTAGAGCAGGGTGATCGCAGAACTGCGTGTGGTAGAACAGTTGGTGTGCGACTCTGAGAGGTGATTTGTGATTGTGGACTCGTAATTGTGTCGTGATTTTAGGTTGTGGTATTTTTTTTTTTTTTGCTGGAGTAAGAAATTCAATTTTGTAATGTACTTGCAAGAACAGACCAGATTTTTTGGAGTTGAATGCCATGGTGTGATATGGTTTGGAGGCTGCCTTGTCCGTATTATTGCGGTTAGAAATTGGGTTGTATCTGTTGCGCAATGGTCGTCGAATTAGCTTGTTACGGTGACGAATTCTCGTTCTAGGGTTTGTGGGAGTGGAGTGGGAGTTGAGTGGAGGTTGTAGCGCATTACTTGTTTAAGGATTTTTTTTTTTTTTTTTTTTTTTTTTTTTTCCAGCAGAATGGCGGACGAAAATGTGCTCAAGGGGAAGGACTTTGTTATCAACTCACCGTCGCAGCAGGACCGCTTCAACCTGTGGCCGGGTAAGTACCATTCACCCGTGACAACCGCATTATGGCACGCCAGATCCAGTATCGTGGAAAGGGCTCGCAATATATCTGTGGATAGTCCCGCGCAGAGTACTCTCCAGAGCAAGACACCGGCGGGGAACCGCACTAGCGTGCTGTATAATTTTTCTTCCGACAACGAACTGCGAGAAGAGTATCGAAATCCCTGGAACTCGATTCGTATTGGGAAGCTTTTGGAGGATCTGGATGCTTTAGCAGGAACTATTGCGGTGAAGGTAATCACTTACCGTCGTGGCTCCTCTCAATTGAAAGACCTGTTGAATCTTAGCTCAATGGACTTACTGGTGCAGGTCTTAAGGTTCTTGATTGTCTCGTGCTTCGGACTGCATGATCCACTGGAAGGAATTTTCAGAAGATCTCTTCACTGGATTTGATTGCCTACTGGCTATTGAGTTTCTTCTTCTCTTCTGTTGCGGGTGTTTCGTTGTTGATTTTGTGTACAAAATCTTGATGGATCAACTTTGTCTGTGATTGGTGTTTTCCTGCCAATTGGACATAATTCAGGAGGTTAATAGCAGCGTGGCATATCCCAATGTTAATGTTGATGGCATTGTTATGGCAGCATTGTTCAGATAGCGACCACACAACCAGGCCTCTTTTATTGGTGACGGCGTCAGTCGATAAAATCAGCATGAAGAAGCGCTTGCGTATTGACGTTGATCTTCAATTGGCCGGAGCTGTTGCCTGGGTGGGGCGGTCTTCCATGGAGATTCGGATGGAGGTTATTCAACCGGTTCGAGGTGTGTTTCAAACATGTCCTCATTGACGAATTTCTCAAGATATTTAAGATCAGTAATATTCATCGAGCTGTCGTAATAATCAAAATGTGATTGCTTCGTCTTCATAATCCTGAGGGCTTGACATGAATTTTAGAGTTGGGAGTGGCTTTTTGTTGCCCATCGATACCAATTTTAGCCGATAATCAGATTTGTTCGTGCAAGCAGAGGTAATGGAGGAGGATGATAAGGCTCTCATAGCGAATTTCACATTCGTCGCCAGGGATTGGAAAACACACAAGGCTGCTCTTGTAAATCATTTGGTGCCCCAAACCGAGGAGGAGAAGCAGCTCTTCGCAATGGGCTCTGCCCGCGACGCCCATCGCAAAAAGCTTCGGTTGGAGCACCAAGAAGCGTCTACTTCTCCTTTCACGAAGCAGTACAACGACCGACTCGCTCAACTTTTGAGAGAGGTGTGACCATCATAAATAAACTCGTGTGATTGGTTACTCCCAATTAACCTGATTTTTGTGGCAGAAATTACTAGCGTCACTGGCATAAGCCACAATGCTTTCACTCCCATTTCTCTAGGGTATGAAGCCTCCGCCCACGAGTCTTATACAGAAGCAAATCTCAAGGGTAAATCCGAGAGATCTTCTTCCGCTTGAGGCCCTTGGGCAGACGCTTCTCAAATCAACCAGGGCTGAAATTTATGATTTCCCTCTCGCGCAAGATAATGTAGTGTCTACTTCACAGAGTCTTTCTGACCGGATTCTGTCCTATTATCTTCCTAAAATTCCATTAGCCTTTTGAGCTTGGGTACTTAATGTTGCTTGTGATAGTAGGGGCGAGTTCTTTGTGAAATGCCAGCGTTGGCCGATCGGAACAGTATTCTGATGCGAGACACACGGTTGGAGAATGCTATCATTTGCCAACCTCAGCAACGGAACATGCATGGCCGTATTTTTGGAGGGTTTCTGATGCGAAGGGCCTTTGAGATTGCCTTCTCAACTGCATATGTCTTCGGGGGCATCAGACCTCTCTTCCTGGAAGTTGATCACGTCGACTTCAGACGGCCGGTATGCATGATTAGTCTTAACCCTCTTGTGCATTCCCAGAATTTGATAGTAGAGGGCTATGCAGCCATCCGTGCCGTGTTCTCTTTTTTTTTTTTTTATCGCTCTGACCATGCTTATCAATGCTGATTTCAATTGGATTGTTGAACTCCAGGTCGATGTCGGAGACTTCCTTCGGCTCAAATCCTGTGTGCTGTATACCGAAACAGAAAATCTGGAGCAACCCCGCATTCATGTTGAAGTGATCGCCCATGTCACTCAACCGGAACTGAAATCCAGTGAGGTACTACTTTGACTTCACTCGGAGGTGGGGGCTGGTTATAACGGCTTAGTCTCTTTAAAGGGAATGTTGACTGTTTCCCCTAGCCCAGGTTTTATGATTTATGATTTATCTTGTCGGATGGTTCTTGATGATTTGTTGGAGGTTATGAGGGCAAATTCAGCATTACCATAATTGATTAATTTCGACAGCCTTCATGTCAATATATTCGGATGTAAGCAGCACCAGTTCCTCTTTTTACATAGTTTAATTTCTAGTTCCTTCGGCTGAATTGATTTATCCTGATTGCCAGGTGTCGAATACCTTTTACTTCACATTCTCACTCGATCCAGAGATTAAGGCTCCTGGTGTGGATTGGAATGTGCGCCGTGTGCTTCCTGCTACTGAAGAAGAAGCGCGAACTTATCTAGCACGTTACGAAGCTGACCACATTGTCCATGAAGTATCAGTATAGTTGTCCTCAGATTTGTAGTTGTCTGTTGACTTGAGAACTCGCACCGTACGAGTGGGATCGCTTATATTTCTGGATTAAGAAATTAAAAACATTAGAGAAGTTTCATAAGCGATGCTTGTACATTCATAACATAAATTCCTCCATCAAGCAGATAATGGAAAATCACTACTGCTCATTCACCTCTGGAAATTAACCCTACGTTTCAACGAATGCTGCCTTGATTAACTTTTATGTGTCTAGAACACCACAGAAGTCTCTTCACATTCAGAGACGTTAAGAAAATGCTGTTTACTTTAAAAAATGCATCTGATTGATAAGCATGTACACGTCTTCACATTGCGCATTTGCACATTTAATGCTGACAGTGTACAAACTAAATTTCGTCGCAGCCTAGACTGTTTATTGCTTGGCGCCGTCGGTTTGCCTCTGCACACAAAGCTTGTCCTTGAGCATTAGGTGCAAGAAACTGTTCCAGTATTCATCTAGCGCCCCATGCCCATGTTCACTTTGAAGTTAGAATTCTCGGTATAGGGCAGTTTTTGAAGTCATTGGTACTTGTAATGGTAGGGACATCACAAGTACAATGATCACTTTCTAGCAATGGTACCGGCTGAAAAGTCCAAAAATGACTTCTTCCTACGCTCCCAATCTCGTCATGAAACGTAGAAAAAGAGGTCAGCATCACAAAACTTAACAGTGGTAACAGACAACCAACAAGGAATAAGTTCAAAATCTTCCCAACTAACACTCATTGTCAGAGGCGTAATTCCAAATCTTTTATGTATGGAAACTGGGATGTGTAAGATCCAACGGTTATCATGAAGACATGAAGTACAAGTAACCAAAATTCGAAGTTGGGCTGTGGCATTTCTTTGTGGCTGAGACGTCGCAGCAAATGTTTGGTGATGAAAAGGTAGAAATGCAGAGTTTGAGGAATTATCCGAAGGAAACAGTCGATATGAATTAATCTGAAAACAGATCATCAAAAGCTCAGAAACTTTTACATCACTGTTCATTCTCATAACAACTCAACCTTCAACAAGTTAAATAGCCTCGACTAGAAACACAAATTAAGTGAGTGTCGAAGTTTAGGGAGGTGAACATGACACGGACATTAGCACCCTCGAGTTCTCTGTGTAAGAACTGTGTAAATGTTGTTAAATAGGATGCAAATCTGATGGATTTGTAGAAATCTGAGAACCGAAGAACGTAGAAAGGATGAGGCACCAACCACTGGATCATGTTTCTCCCCCCATCACTAGCATCGAAGGTTTCATCTCCTATCTGTTCAATTCCTGCACACGTGACCTCGTAATGGAATGCTATCGTTGCAGACATGGGGGACTTGGCGATTTTCATGTAGCGAGTTCCTGCAAGAATCAGCTAGTTAGGATAGGATTGCAATCTACCCACCAAGATATAATATTGAAACAGTTCAATTAAAAAAAAATTACATCAATAACATGCCCAGCACGAAGGAGTGAGCACACATGTGACCTTCAACAACCCTTGTAACGGCAGACGTGATGAGAAGCATGCCTACTATCAAAATGCAATCGGTTTTGGATCGTGAAGCTACACGAGTCCATTCAGGGGACGTGATGGTTAACTCATATTTGAATTCAGTTGTCATATAGACGTGCCCAAAATATCTGGATGGTACTGTTCAATTCCAAGCTCTACGCATGTGGACAGAATAGGTGTCACGGGAAGAAATAGACTTGCAAGAACATCCAGAGCCCCATGTGCAACCTTACCTTTTCAGTTGATTTACCGATATAGGTATAAACTTGTGTTAATTTATTTTACTCATTTCAACGTCATAACCTCGTGAAGCGAAAGAGCAACTCTCAACGATGTACCTGAAAGGCTTTCGAGGACGAGGCGGATGTTGACTGCATGTGACCACTTTGTACCAAGAGCAGCTGTAAGTTGAAGGTCTAACCCTTCACCGTTTGCTGTCTCTGTTGCCCGCATTATCTCTTTCTTACCTGTCAAAATGCACATTTTACGTCCTTGGATGTTGGCGTGATGATGAAATATCTATCATGCCATGCTTTTCATCTTATATGTCACATTAAACCAAACCAACAGGTAACCTCAGCTCAACAGCGTTCAGCCATTCCAAGCCTGTGATTACAACAGTGTAGACATTCCTATTCTCCAGAATTATAAATAAATAAATAAACTATCAAGTTTGTGCATTGAAGCAATGTGCTGCAAGAGGGTTAATCCTTTCTAACGTAATCCGGATTTTCACGTTTCGTTTAGTCTAAGGAAAATTGTGAAATTGGCAATACCAGCAGAAGTAAATGCTGTCTCTTGACCTCCAGGTCCACCCTGAAACCTCACTTGATTGGTAACGATGACTGGCATTCTACGAGATTCAGCCAAATGCCTGACCAAAACAAGCTCAATATCCATTTCAACAGTGAGGTGAGCACTTGGCAAATCAAGGCCCATCCTCAAAACTACGTCAAGAATCATGAGCAGAAGAGAAAGGGTAGGATGAGCAGAGGATCACTTACTTCAAAATTGACGCTTGCCTCCCGAGTAGTTCCTGTCTCCGAATAATGTCGTCACGTCCATACTCGCTGCATCCACTCCACACAGATGATTAAAGATAGATAACTTAAATAAGCATGTACTGGCACAGTCGTATCACCAATGAGCATATAATATGAACGGGTATAGTTGATCCAATATACAATAGCGTTCAGGATTGTGTAAACCCAATACAAGTAGATTCACAAATTTTACCACGCAACCCAAAAAGGTCCTCACAATCGGAGATAATATTAATAGTCATCTTCAGAGAATCAAATTCACAGACACCTTTGCAAGAGTGCAGCCACGCTATCCACCACCAGAAGTCTCACTCCGTGTTGACGAATTGCCTCTTCAAGTCCCTGTAACCTACACAGAATTAAACTTGAGATCCCCTATTCGATTACATACAGAAGTGCTGTAAAACAGAAAGTAAAACTTAATGGCTTCAGCTTGTCATACAATGGGATCTGCAAACGCAAAACTCCTGGTATATTGTGAGGGACACCATTTGAAAGATCATTGACTTATCTATTAAAGGAAAAGCGCACCAAAAACAAGAAGAGTTAAAAAAACTGATGCAATATCTAACGGTGTCAATAAAACAGAAAAACGACATAGCTCCCATTACACCTCAGCATGAGCTCAGAAACTGTGTCGGGTTGGACCATAAGCACGCGCGCAGCCAGCTGCAAAATATTTCAATAAGTACTTGACGAGGATCTTCCTCCAAACTATGATAGGTAGCTCTAAGATGGAAGCAAACCTAAAACACCAAGAAAAACACAGCATATCTGGTTCATTCTAAGCCATGATCTAGAGGTGGAGTTCCGAATGTCCAAGGATTACCTGCTGTAACACCTGATCGCTAGTAAAGTGATCTGGAAATCTGGACTTTGCTATTTGTAGTAATCTGTTTGCACGAAGTCAACGGCCTTAAGATTTCAACTTCGTCGGAAAAGATTGACATGCTTTGTTGAGAAAAACTTGACTTCTCTTTCAACGGAAAGAATAAGCCTAACAAGTGATTTCATCACGATGACCATGACTAAACACAAAGACGCATTACGCACTCCCACAAACTACCTTGCACACTAACGCTCTTACACAATCTGCAAGTGATGCAGTTTGGGAACATTACATCTCTCCTGAGGCAGCTGCTGAGTTTGATGGAATGTATGTTATCGACTCGTCTTTCTGAGGAACAGGACTGTACCTTTCCGGTCGGAACTTTTTCTCGGTATCAATGTATATCACACGTCCGTCGAGACCGCCAAGTTCGACGGGCATGGCTGCTAGTACTGATAGAGTAATACAGAACTGCAACCCATACAACATACACCATACACCAAAACCTATTAGATTGTACACTAATCATACATCAGATGCGAGTTGGCGAATGGGCTGTAAATCCAAAAGCTACAAATTCTGAGCACTTCTAAAACTTCTTCCAATTACCAAAGTGAAGTCATGCAAAAGTCTCTCGATCCACAAAAATTACGAAATTACAATGTCCCGTGAAACGCAATAGTCGTAGGAACACCGAAATGTTCACACTCTTCCAAAATAAACGGGACAAACATTAAACGGGTAACCCATAGAGGTAAATTTCGAAAAACTACCTGAGTTTTCCCAATACCAGCAGGTCCCACAATTTCAGTCATTACGCCAAAGGGAATTCCTCCCCACAATGACTCATCCAAAGCGCCTAACCCTGTGGGTAGATGACCAAATGCAGCCTCCTTCTTGGCACGCTCACTCAAAATGTTGAAGACCTGATTCAAAATGAATTTTTCATGTATCACAATTCCCAATCCACGCAAAACATGTTAAAAGCGGGTGCACTTCAATGGTCAAGAGAGGGAGGAACAGGAGTCATGAAGGCACATAATAAAACACAACCAAGAGCGAATAAAGCTGCGAGTCAAACCGAATGACATGGTGGGCACACTTTCGCACTGATGATAGCGAGTGCGGATTGCACTTCTCCAAATGGCACATCCAGTAGCTCTACAAGCTCCAGTTCTGTCTTGAAAAGAGCTTCCTACACAAACAAAGCCAAAGCCAAATTTCAAATATCTTGCTCTTTAGACAACACCAACACAGCACGCGTACATCCTTATAAAGATTTGAAAACACAATCGCATGAATACAATGAAGTGACCACTGAGACTAAATAACCACACGCTCAGCCGGTTGGCAGCAATAACTATACCTTGGCCGTGAGTATGTTACGAGCTCTGAAGATATGAGCAATTGAGTCGTTAAGCCCCATAGAGCTCAAACTCATGCTCGCCATCTCTCTGGCGCCAGGTTTAGGGTTTAGGGTTTACGAACCGTGGCCTGTTGAGCACTCCTTACATCTTAAGAGGAATTCGCAGATCACCCCGCTAGTGCATCATCCAAAATCTCACCTAGGGTCAGCAAATTATGGAATATTAGAAAAGATGTTGCAAAAAGTTCGTCCCTACGGAAAGTAAGAACCTCCATCTTCACATTCTTCAAGAAAAATTGGCAATCTGCAGTTCCATTGTTGGTCCGACCTAATTACATGAATACAGAAACAACAGAATAATGAAAATAAACGTTTCACAATTGGCCATGCGACAGAACAAGAATTCACACCAAGTCAATAAAAGGGCACCTCAACATCTACGATTTCAAAGACCATAAAAGTGACGAAAGAATCAGCTCTAGGGCCTAGGGTTTAAGGCTTTTGCAGACCAGTGTCTCCGCAGGGAGAAGACAAATGAAAGATTAGACGCACAGTGATGCTGTAGAGCAATTCACCGGAATAAACTCCATGTCTTGCATATATCTGCCATATTCAATACAGCAGACCTTCTCGCAAACAACACACCAATGAAAACACAAACCTCTCTACACCTCCGTTCCCACCAAAAAAACCCACAATAATCAGCATCTATTTGCTGAAACTAGTATTGAGCTCATATTATTACCAATTAAGAAAACATCGTCGTGAAAAGTTGCCTCAATTCAACCCGCACAATACACACAAGGCACCACAATGCGCAGGAAGGAACAGTGAATGCCCACAATTTGAGACCATCTGATGAAAGTGTTAAATCCTCTTCCAGGCCGAAGCTGAAGAGCCAAGAGCTTCATTCAAATTGTGGGGTGCGAGAAATGCAAGTGCATGCAGGGCTCCTTCCCCGCGCACTGTTTTTCGTTCGTCCACGTTGAGGCAATTTCGTTGACGATTAGACGGCGATTCGTCCAGATTCCGTCACCCTTGAAAATATTTAAGAAAATAATAAAAATCATATCTTGAAACTTTCCTACACAGGACCACACTCAAAATCATTGAATCATGGATATGTTCTTAACTGCAAAATTTTGATTCTCACAAGAATAAATTCTTTTCAGCATTATACCATCCATCTGTATATGATCCCTATATTTATCATTGAGTGTTAATAGGCATCAATGCTCAGCAAGGTCATTCAGCAAGATTGAAATGCAAGAATATTGAAAAGCAAAATTAACAAACCTTCAAAGTATTCAATAAAAGGTATATATTTGGTCATGTACAACTGTTATAAATAATAAAATGCATGTATGAATATATATATATATATATATAATCACATATTAAATATTTTTAGAATGTTTTCTTTAATTATCTAATTAATTATTTATTTGCTCAAAAACATGGTCATTATCTTTACACTAACATACTGTTATGTATTATTTTAAAATAATAATAATAATAATTGAATACTTGCTAATTGTTAGAATTTAAAAAAAGTTACCATTTTGATTTATTGGTAGGTTACCTGAGGTATTAGAAACATCTATATTAATTATGTACATAATAGTAAATAGAAAAACAAAACAAAATTTAGTGGTAATAAATAGAATTAATAATATCTTGTGAAATTGTACAAGTTTTGTGGACACAAATAGAATCTAAAAATATTCTTACGTGCCTCATATAATTATAGAAACTTCTCCTAAGAGTACTTTAGCTTTTGGGATCTAAATAGCTACTCTACAAGAGAAAAATTAAAATTAAACAGATTATTTAAGTAATCATTACACAAGGTCCAAAGTTACATATAAATCCACAGGAATGCAAGCAAAGAATAAGGAATGAATGAATAAGAAAAAGGTTCTTCTTTAGTGCATGGGCCCCAAAAAAGGCTTTTTTTTTTCTGCAGGGAAATGACGGAGGTGAGAGCTTTGATCAGAGGGTCCGCTGCATGTTCAAGACGTGAAAAGCTGGTTCCAAACACTCAGCCATGAGAGAGCAGAGTTTGTATTGTCCTCCAACAAGTCAATTAGACAACAAACAACAAACAACAAACTGCAGAAGAAGCTGGAGGAAAGTAGAACCAGTGTGACATGATTTGGTGATACTCCAGTCCTTCCTGCAATAAAAGAGCACTTTGCATTGGCATCCACTAGAGGGCCTCTATCTCGTCCTCCAGATATAGATAGATACCTGGTGCCGAACCACCCCAGCTCCAGCTCTCGGTGCTGCTGGAACTGAATCACATGGGGATTACGCACTTCTTCTGAGTGCCTTCATGATTACACACTTCTTCGGAGTTCACATTCCATGGGACCTACTTAAGAAACAGTCCTTCGTGAAGTAGTGTAGATTATCCCTTAAAAATGAAGGATCATGCTATCCATCCACCCTAGCTTAAGACTAGTGCCGGCAAGTGTAAGACCAAGCGCAAATGCCAATCCAATGGCATAACTCAGAACGATTTTAGTTCTTCTGTCGCCTCCAACATTTCTCACGGGTGCGCTTGGGTCCCGGCAACGCAAAACAGTTGAGAAGTACTTAAGCATCTGGCGGTGAATGCTGCCCTTCTCGAAGTGCTTCCGAGAATTTTCTGACAAATGGTCGAGACCGGCAGAAGTTGATGTGAAGTGCTTAACCCACACAGCCCCATGCCGGTTTTGGACACACACCTTGAGCCAGGCATTTTCTGCTTGCAAAGAAGCAATCCAGTGACGGTATGTAAGGGACAAAGATGCCTCTCGGAAAAACAGCTGTGACAGCTTTCTATACTCTCTCTTGGTCTGCTCAACTTTCAATTCAGCCTCTCTAGCCCGAGTTTGCGAGTGACACAATGCTTCCACCAGAGGACATGTGTGCTTGCTTGAGGAACTGCCAACCACTCCTCCACCACCACTGCAGCTTGTATTTCTGTTGTCAGCACTGGTGCATATCCATGGTCAAAACAAACAATTGTTATGGGGTTCAAGAAGATTGAAACGGCGTAGGAAATTAAGTATATTAAATAATCCACATCTCATGAAAAAAAAAGAAAAAGAAAAAAGGGAGTCCGGCTTTTTATGATGCACCTGTAGTTTTTTGAAATAAGTTCCTGGGCCGGTGCATTGGAAATGTTGAGATGCTCACCGGTTGCCAGAAGGAAAGGTGTGGCATGGGACTCTGATTTACTGTACATACGAGAGCTTGCCTGCATGCCCAGATCCTCAGGGTAAGAGAGTTTACCACCCTGAAATACTGAAGAGAGCAAATCGCGATCCAAAGATTTCGAAATATCATGAGGACCTTCCTCCAGCACTTCCCAACCGTCCAAAGATGCCTTGAATTTAAATCCTGATCTTGGAGTTGGAAGATCACAATTTTCAACCATTTCCAATGACTTCTGTGCAACAAAGACAGCTAAAGCTTCCTTGTCCGATGTACGCCACGAACTTCCTGCATTCGGAGATCGTGTATTTGTGGATGCAGATATGGGTGTTGGAAGGCATTTTGTTGACTGTCCAGTCAAGATAAGATCTTCTGCTTCTTCTATTCTACGTATCCACATATTTTCCAGTTTTTCCGGTCTTTCTTCTGATTCGAAGCTAGAGGTGGAAGGCTGACTTGTAAATTCTTGAACGGTTTTCGGTAACATCACGTGCGCCACCAAGCTGAGATTGTTTGCTTCGTCATCGTCTGTAGGTACGCCTTCACCACCTTCTTCAACTAAAGGAGGGGAAATATCGTCCCCTTCAAGATTCTTATCCCGCATTTTGGTTTCAGACACATCAACTAACTTAGGTTTTGGATCCAAAACAAACTGCCATCCGAGATCGACTTCATTGCTGACAGAATACTCGGATGGCACACCGATGTAACCTGCTACATTGGAATCCCAATAAAGACATTAAAAAATTAACACTTCCAACGGACTGCGAATCTTCCACAAACCTAACTCCAAGAACTACCTTGCAACTGCAGGGTTTTCACGCTCAGAAATTGCCATTTCTACCTTAAAAAAAATCTCTCCTCAAACGTCTACTAAATCGGAGAAGGCCTCCTCTACCAACCGGACATCCACACATCCAGAAAAACCACGTCATTGACATGGCACCAGAATATTGTAGTTCAAAAGTCATACGCTATTAGAAACAGGGCATTTTCACATGCAAATCAAACAGAGAAGATAAGTCCAAATAACAAAAATTCAGAACAATTCACATCAATTCACACCAATGATGGCACTAACCTGAGATCCCAAGCTTTGTGCAGCTCCGCTCGGCAACAATATCTTGCAAACGTGGCTTGAACTGCGACAAGAGAACATCCTCTACTCCCAGATACTCGGATCTATAGTCACGATGAGCGCTAGAACTAATCTGTCGTGGTAAGTCAACTTTTGTATCCATAGAGCCGCAACTGTTGCCAAAGGAGGAGTAGGAGTCTTGTGCTTTCAAGGAAGGACGGTGTGCTAATTTGGGGGCTTTGGCAGTATCCTCCTGGACAGCACGCTTTTCCGCCGCCCGCTGGCATATTGCGTGCGATTCCGCTGCCGCCATCAAGTAATCCCACCACATGACAAATCTTTGCTTAATGGTTGGAGCCCTTGTCGTCTCTGCGCAAATATTCCCACTAAATCCATTACATATACGATGACAGCCATGCATGCTTGTTCGAATGTGAATCATTGGAAAATACGGAAGATCAAGTGGCTGAAACCAAGTCTTTGCCGGAGCAGAGAGAATTAGTCAATTGAGACAAAATCCACTTCACGTCTTCATAATGACATGCCTTTTTCATTTGTTGAGCTCGTTATCGAAGGTGCGCAAAGAAACGCCGTTTCTCGGAATACTCACTCACCTATCAGGCGCAATAGCACCGTCCGCTTTAACCCAAATGTAAAGGGTCGCAACACGTACTTCCAAAATGGGAAAGGGGGAAAAAAAAATCATGAAACTGATCAATTCACTACGAGAAGCAGGTACAATGACAGGGTTGTTATTCGCAGCGTCTCTTTACGTCCACACCTTCTTCAGAAATCGCGTCTCAATGGTCTTCCTCAACTTCCTTCCCTACATATCACACCAACAGCTCTGACGTCTTACTCTCATGTAGATATCACCAATAGATCCAATCGCGAACACCTCAAAAGCAGCCCAATCGTTCCATACTTTTCGAAGAATTAAAATAATACTCCTAAGCTGGCCCCTGCGATCCTTGACAAACACTCATCACAAATATCCCAGAATTATGACACTTTCGAAAACCAACTCAAATCCTGCTGTCTTCAACTCCCTTTCACGTTCACTTAACGCTGCAAGTCTCTCGCTTCAACCACACCTCACCTCAAATCCTCACAGATCCCCATGCCAAACCATCGACTCTGACCAGGCACAAGAAAAAGTCTAGAATCGGCCAGGTCAAGAGAATACAAGAAAGACCAGTGCGTGGTGTCTCTGACAGTGCAACTACCACACAATCCTCAAACCTCAGTTCCTGCATGCAAGAACCCAAACCCTCGGTCAAGCCATCCCCACACGCGTCCACTGGAACAAGGGAAAACGACTGCAGGCGTGCAATCTTCACTCCATTGTCGCTGGAGGGGTGGGGGTGATTGAGCGAGGAGGAGGGGGAGATCTGACCCTGCCGTCCCTGAGTGAGCAAGGCGACAGGGCGCACAACGGTAGCTCTCAATTCCAGAATAATGAAGAAGACAAGTCAGTCAGTAGAGAAGTTGAAGATGGGATCCCCTCTCGTCTCTGTCGCCATAGCCAGCCAGCAGCACCCCCTCCTCGACGACGAATGTGTTGGTCCTGCTCCGGCGCCGTGCTGGCATTGCCATGTCGCACTTGCTGGGGCGGGGGGGGGGTGCCGACCTCCACCTAAGACACCAACGAATGAGCGTCTGACGTGGCTGAATTCATGCATGTGGCGCGTGGATGATTTTCTTCTCTTTTTCGGGCCTGCAACGCTGTGCGAGCAATTTCTTTTGCATGCCGATTGCATGTCCACACACACTCGCCACAACCCCCCCTCATACAAATGGGGGCTCAATCAGATTTAAATGAGAGCAAATCCCTTCCCACTCCGATTGGGTGTGATGCTTCTTCTGCTGCCTCGTCACCCTCCCTTTGCAGAGTAAGCCTGGTCCATCATCACATCACACTTGGGCAGTCCTTTCTTGCCATGCCTCGGTTGCCCATTGTTGGATGAAAAGAAAGTAAGAAAGAAAGGAAAAAAACAGACATTTCGAAACTTCTCTGGACAGTGAACCCTCGAACTTCCTCCAACTAAAAATGCTGATAAATGGACAATAGGTATTATTGAGGTCAGCTTTTCTTCAGTAGCTTCTTTCATCCATCCATCCATCCATCCATCCATGGATATCAAGAGAAGGTACTAAATTATATTTTGGATTGGGTGTGTTCTTCCACTGGAATTGGATTGGAGTCTTATTCTTCCGTGTTCTACAGATCTCTCAGACCCTAAATTGGTCCAAATACCGCCTTCAACAAGACACATCCACAGATGGGGAGGACAGATGTCTCTCAAGCGAGTCAGTCATCTATGTTCATCCACTAATATTCGTTAGTGGGCAACACCGTGGGGTCCTATATCCATGGCCATAAAGGCCCATATCTGTGGAAGAAGAATGTAAACCCTTTGTCCGTCTTGCGCGGATGTCGCAGCCTCCATGATGGATTACATTCGTTGACGTGTTTCATTCGCCGAGAGTAACTGAAGGAAGGGTCTTCTCTGTCAGCTATATTCTCGGGGGATATATGTTCCTTATTGGCTGTGTCGGTAGATGCGGCCGGTTCCTCGCCTGCATTGCTATTTTGAGCGATGTTGTACGGAAGCAGGTTTCGCGAAGTGGGTCGAATATCTTGATAAGAGCCAAAATGCTCAGAAAAGATGTACATTGTAAGTCGAGGATAGACTCACGTGTGATATATTCCTAATCCTCTAGGTCGACCAGACTTGGCGAGATTTGTTCAAGTTCTTCCTGTGTATGTGGATGGAATGATCCTTCCTGGTAAAATGCTCCCGATGAAGGCACACTTGTGAACATGCGTGAAGTCTAAGTAATCATGGTAAACTTGACTCATTTATTCAACTTGGCGCATTCATGAGAAGAATCCAATGCATCGTTTGACAGGAGTGCGAGTGTTATGTACCATATTCTCCCCTTACTCTTAGCCAATTATCACATGATTCGCAGTTGATTGATATCATAGATTAGAGTATGGATATTACTTCCTGGTTGCAACGTACTTTTCTCCTTGAAGGAATTTTTTTTGTCGTTGAGCAGTGCCGTTGTTAAGAAGCAAGGATTGTATTTTCAGTTATAAATAGCAGAAAAGAAAACGCCCCAAAATTGTGGGCGATCACTACATTAAAGTGAAGAATACAAGGAATCTTATTGACCTCAGATTCGGCACAATTGGAGCTGCTCTATACCGTTGTTTCCACGAAATTCTACAACTATGTCACATGAACTTTGACAACACGATAACTCCTGCCTGTCGTTGTCTTCATGGCTACTGAGGTTTTTAGTATATAGGATTCTAATTTTTTGGCGGATTGCCTTGATTTCGGAGAGCATGACCCTTCCACTGTTCTGTCTATTGACGAACGTGTCGTCTGACCTGTCAAATTGCGAGACTGCTCTTGAAGGAAAACTTCTTTCCAGTACGCTTCAAGTGATCATTCAATCACAACAACCTATTTCTCAATGCTCTCTCCACAATTATTTTCACTCGATGAGCACGCCATTGGGTAAATAAATCTGATGTCTCTTCTATCGCATCGACGCTGACGGTGACCCAATTGAGTTGAATATGCCCTCGATGTCTGCATTCGATCTGTTGTTGACTTGGTTGTTTGCTTTCCCCTTTCAGAATAATTTTAGGGCTCGATTTTATGCTTCATCGTAGTATTGGGATGGGGGATTCAACCTGTCTCATTCGTGGATGTGGCATCATACCTCTGCGTGTCTTTGTGAAGGCAATGAAAGTGTTTTTGGCCGTTTCATTCCTGAAGGACAACCTGTAAAAAACACACAAACACCGCAATCTGTAGGTTCACCCCCAAAGACCTTTTCCGCCCTTGAGAATTCTGACTTCTTTCAACACCAATCAACACTGTGATGAGCGATATGAGTGGGCAATCCAGCTTGGAGTCACATTTGAGGATCCAATGACACGTAGGGGATATTATTCCCAGGAGGGTTACATCGCTTGACATTTCTAGCGACTTTGACTCACCAGAATGTTGCCATTCTTAATTCCAATGAGAGGGGTTTCTACGAATACAAAGCATGGGTGAATGTGGAGTTTTCCGAAACTTGTTACGCATGGCAGAACACAACTACAAGAGAAAACTTTTCGAGAGAGTAAGCTACCTGGGCCCCCAGGAACTCTGATTCAGGTGTGTCGGTTCACCTCGCACAGCGCATTACACGGCTAACGTGCAATTCATCTCGATCTTTGAAGTACTTATCAAATCTCTCAGATCCTGCCACCTCCCTCCAATATTATCTTCAGAAGCTTTGATACAAGCATTCACACCATCTCCTTGAACTCTTCCACTGAATCCACGAACACCGTCTAGAAGGTTGTGTTCAACAAGTACCCTAGCCAGTGTATCGTAGCTGGGGATACTCAACCAAGGGTACTGGATGAATACGTTAAGGACATTGCAGAGGTTGAAAGAGCTTAAAAGCAGCAAATGGAGCCACGCGGAAGGGCCATGCTGAAAAATCTCTGACACTCCACGCGTGACTTGGCCCATGTCCGGAGGGGATCTGCTGCCTCCTGTCCCCGATTCTGTCCTACCCCATTTAGCATGATATGATCTTCAGGTCCTTCATTGTCTCGCTCGCTCTTGTCAGGCTCTGCAGCGGCCTCGATAGTGGGATATTCATGTTTCAACCTTTTTGGTACCCAACCTAATCAAGCCACACGGATAGTAGTGCCGTCCTCCCTCTCCAGTCCCCGACATACTTAGAAGCTGAAGCATTCCCTTGTTCCACTCACTTGTTCATTCCTGCTCTACTTGGTCTATGTCTGGTTTGTCTAAGCCGTAAGACAAATAGTGCCCTTTCGCAATAGTTCAGGTAACATAGGTGTGATCCAGAACTGTTCTGGTAATCCCTGGTAAGAGCAGAGCTACTGTTCTGGTTGAGAGAAGACCGAAATTGCTTTTTAGTCACTACATTTTGCGCTGTGAGTGCCGGTGGAGTTGTTCCTGAATCACTTGCCCAGGTGTTCTGTGTGAGGCTTGGAGATCTGAACTGTGCGCAACCGGCTCAGGATAATGGCCCGCATTCAGGAGGTCTGTTGCATCTTGAGCAGTCTGTATACATTGAACGACACAAGATATATGCTCGTAATGCTGATGTGCACTAATGATCTTGTAGAGGACAGAGGTGTGCATTTGAAGGCTATAGTTTCAGGAGTTTTAGTAGCGATGATATCTGCGTTGACTTGAGTGAGAGAGAGAAAACATTGATAAAGTTTAAGAACTATTTTGACACATTCAATGCGGCGCCGCTTGCATCGTACAGTGCAAAATAGAAATCTTCATTGATTAGCAGCTCGTATCCGGTGTCTAAATCTTTACTGGGCTATCGTAGACAGATTAAATGAATAAAGAGTTGCTGTGGTCTTGTTGGTGGTAGTCAACTTGTTTTGTTTGTGAGCGCCCTTGTGACCTTTTTGATGATCGTACGCTGCTTGTTCTGTGTAGACTTGGAGAGGCCAACAAGAGCCAGAGTACCGTTACCGCACTGGCTACGATCAGCGCCAAGCTCGAGAGTCTAGCAGGTACTTCAGCTATCCTTCCAGTGCCACTTCCGAAGTGCACAACGGATATCAAAGGCCATACGGAGAAGTTTCGGATTGGCATGGTCGAAGTCGGTATGGTACAGCAGAATTGCTAGGAGAGTACCGCAGACCATACCGAAGCAGCGAGCAATCACCGCGGGGTGTAGAGTACCGGAAGCCGTATCGTGAGAGCAGCGGTGATTACCAAAAGTCTTCTGCTGGATCTAAGCGTGATACGGACGACTCTGTGATCGTTCTCAAGGTGCCCATGTGTTGCGACAAATGCAAGGAGAAGGTCCAAGAGGAGCTGGGTGAGGTCGAAGGAGTAGAGTCTGTTCGTTGCGACCAGTACGCCTCTAGGGTGACTGTTAGGGGCGAGGGTATCGACGTCGACAGGTGCTTGAAGAAGGCTGAACGAGCTGTGAAGAAGAAATGCGAGTTGATCAGTGGCGATGACGACGATGAAGCTGACGACGACGACGACGACGACGATGACGACAAGCGCAAGTCCAGCCGCCGCATGAGTATGAACAGGACCAGATCAGGCGATTATCCAAACTTGGACAGGGGCAGGTCAGGCGACTACCGCGGCGATGTCGAACGAAACGGAAGCCATGTCCGCTCAAACTCTGGCGCTATGCAGATCAGCGGTCGACCCAGCTTGGGAAGACTCCCCTCATTTGCAAGCGGGAAGGTCAATTACTACGACGGAGCTGGGCATATCGGCCAGGATTACGAAGCAAAGGATTACTCAGGATTCCGTCGCTTGCCGTCCTTCAGCAAGCACCGACACCACGAGGCTGAGTACATCAGCACCATTCCAGACCAACGGCCAGAATTTACGGGTAGTGGCCTCGATTATTACGCTGTACGCCGTATGCCGTCTTTCAACGGGCACCGACACCACGACGCCGAGTACATCACCACGGCTGATCGTGAGTACAGTCCTCGCACATTCTACGAGGACTCCAGCAGCAAGTACACCACGGTGTTAAATGAGCGGCCTGTGTATCGATCCCAAGCATCGTTCTCTCGGCTTCCCGTTGGAAACCCATATTACGTGAAGCAAATCGATGGTATCCCAATGTACTAATGAGCGGGGCATCGATAAATTGTGATCTACTATCGTTCTTTGAACAGGGTGTTAGACGTATTCAGAGGTGCAGGCGATGATTTTACCAACTGGTGTCTTCGTGTTCATTTTTCCAGTAGTCTTCGTTCACCAAATTTTTGTCCTATGTTGGTTTTGTCACTTTCACATCCTGATCTCTGTCACAGACATAAAAAGAATAGCGATTATATGGATAGTATAGCGTAATCAAGAACAGGCTGAGTCCTTTGGATTTTCGCCAGAAAAAATTGCCTTCAGTATGTACCATGACACTGAGATGATAATGAACACAGTTGGTTGTTAAATTTGAACCATATGTGATCCCTTTTAAAGGATATGCTCGGTCATACTCGCTGTTGCTGTGTATGTGTGTGTGTGTGTGTGTGTGTGTGGGTAAACTGGAGTGACGAAGATTTTAGATGGTAACCCGAGCACTTGGATTTCACTCAGAAACATTGTATGCTGTAATTTAACATCCAAAGTGTCTTCAATACCTGTCTATCGTTGTTTGAGAGGGTGCTGATTGTGAATGGTTACAGAACTAATACTAATATAAACTTAGCAACACTTTGAGTTTTTGTGACCCCGTCATACTTTTGCTCCGTCAAGTGACGTTACTGCACAGCAGCTGATGTTTCTGGGTCTTTTAGTGGGCAAATCATCATTTTCACTGCAAGACATGCATGTTTCTTGGTTTTGCAAGCACGTTTTCATCGTGACTGTATTATCTAGACCGATTGCACTGTGTGGGTGTGTGTAATCTGCTTGTGGGCAGTGCTCACCACAGTTGGAAACGAATCACAAACCAATTCTCCACAATCAAGCGTTACCTGCTTGGTTACTTGCTTGCTTGCTTGTTTGTTTGATAGCTTCTTCACAGTTACCTTTCTTCAACCCTCGGAGCTCCAACTCATCTTTGGGGTGGAACTGGAATTCTACATCTTCATGTGCCAGGGCTGTTCCTTTTCTGTACAACAAGTGCGCAATTCTGAAATTGTCATGTGTGTTGTTACATGATGTATGGGTGGCTTTTAATTTGTAAATTTAGCATGTAAGTGGCGACTTCAATGTACAAGTAAGCTTGTAAAATCGTTATCGTAATGAGATTGGTTAATCTACTTTTTTATTCATCGGAATTTATTTCGAATATTCCTCTAATCTGCAACCAACCACGAAAAAAAGATGTACGTCATCCTTAAGACATTGGTGTTCATTTGTTGCCGAATTGAGGTCATTTCAATCTTTTACAGAACTAAGTCTGAATATCAGTATAATTCTTAAGACTACTGAAATGAAAAAAAATTCAATTCATGATTAATAGAGAAAAAGATATTATATATATATATATATATATAGATATATTGCATGTATTTGTGTATGAAAGAATAGATCTGTAAGACAACATAATTCGGCTTCTATCACAATAGCAACACAACTGTGCACATACATCATTATCAATCAAATAAATATAAATTACAAAACAAAAATAAAATGAAGTAATCTTGAGGAAAATAATCAATCATTCCAAAATTATATTTGGGCGACTACATATTTGATTAATACCAATATACATATATGCAAAGCTGTTACTTCTCAATAAAATAAACAAGTCATAGAATATTTGTAGATCTAACTTTATACAAAAATAAAGAAATAGAATACTCAATATCAATTAATAAAAAATAGTATTAAAAATTTGCAATCAATCCAAATCAACAATAACCGTGAAACAACATATTCATATTCACCTGAATGCTTTTTTGTTAACCATGTTTTACAAAAAAAAATACTGATAAATTAAAGTGCATAATTTGTAAACTTGTAAGTTTGATGAAGGTTCCAAATTGATAATATGTTTAAAAACAAAAACAATATTAATTTTACTTTTAATTTAATACATATTCCCATAGAAAGTATACATATAAGAGTTTCTTATTTTTGATATATTGTAATAAAAATAGTCATAAATTTGAATTTTAATATTTAAAACTGTATATATCTGATATGTAACATTATACAGACTAATCAAATTATTGTTCAAAAAAAATATATTGTATTAGCATACAACGGTTCTTAAATTACAAATTTTAATTACAATTGCATAGAATTTTATGTATGTATAATTATTAATATTATATCATTGAATTAAAATAAATGATGGTTACATCTAATGTTTAAGCATTAAAGCATGGGAACTATATATATATATATATATATATAATAATTTATGTTAATGCATTTAGATTTTAGATTAATTAAAATATGGATTTATGTGAACATTATATTTAAATTATACTAAGATTTCATTGTTTTTATGAAAAGTAAACTAGAATTGTTAGGTAATATATATATATATATATATATATATATATATTGAAAATAATCTTGGGTAAAAAAGTATTTTTTTATTTGTATTTTATTGAATTTTACTTCTTAAAATAATATTCTATATAACATTTCTTTATCAAATATTGTGTTAGTATAAAAATTGTATAAATTACAGATTTTTTTCATAAATTATGTATATCTATATATTTAAATCAATATTTAGTGAAAAAAGAAAGGATTCAAGCAGCTTTGACATGATTAATTTGGAATCAAATTTTTAGGATGAACATTAAATGTTTACTCAAAATACATCTTTGAATGTTACTAAAACGATTGTGGTGTATCTAAAAATAACAGTATAACTTAAAGTAGTAGGTTCTTTATACATATGTTCAAGTATAATCCTCTAAAGTTATTGTTCTTGGATTACATCTATGCTAGACCACCTCAAGTTCGATGATCTATTTTTTTATTCTAAAAAACTTTTTTTTCTAAATTTCTACACAAAAATAGCTTTTTTTTTTTTTAAATGCACTCTCAAATTCTCATATTACGAAAATCCCTCCAATAAACTAGAATCAAGTTTAAAATAATTAAACAATAAACTTTATTATAAGTCATTGTAGAAGACACAACAAGTGCACTCAGTGCTTCTCCTATTCTAACAAGTCAATTTAGCATCCTCAAAATTCTGTAAGCTCTAAGAAAATCTTAGAATCTCTCTTTCTTTCAACCATAAGTCCAAACCTTCTCAAACTTCTTCAACCTTAGATCTTTTCAATCTTATATACATACACACTAAAATAAAATAAAGTTATTTGACAATAAATTAATAAATTGGAAATTATATATATATATATATATATATATATATATATATAATTTCCAATTTATATATATATATACTGCCATGCAAATATGAATCTAATATCACGCTTTAAAGAGTTATAAATGTGCATGAATATCTATGTTTTGACTACTAACCAGATTAAATTACAAGAACAAGAATTATTTATTGTTTCAAGAAAAAAAAATGCAAAATTTATTGGGCTTGTGTGTAATCTCAAGAATACTGTATCTTGATGGCATTGGTAAAGAGTTAATTGCTACTGCTTTGCGAAATAAATTGTACACAAGAAAACTGAAAGATTCATGATAATTGACAAAATAGCAATGTAGAGTACTTGAAATGAAAAAATAGTGATACATATTAAGTAATGAGAAGACTGTTGTTGTTTTAGATTTTGGTGTGACTCAATCATACACATTATATATACATATATAGAGTATAAGAATACTCTATTAATGTACTTAATAAAAACCTATATTACTGATTATATTCATATTACGTGTAAATCATTATACTATTCTTTTTAAAAAAAATACAATGATCAAGTGCACATAACAAAAACATGAATATAAGGTCAACTATATATTTCAGTCCTATACAACATGAAAAAATTTCCTAATAAAACATGTGTAAGAAAAATTAAGCCTCATTGAATGGAAAAAATTAATTGAAATATTCTATAAACAAAAACTTCACTTGAACAGATTATTGCAGTAAAACATTATTATGTTATTTATTGAGGAAGTAAACGATTTTATAAAGAAACAAATGATAATGCATACATAAATCACCATGTTTGAAGTCTAACATAAAACAAGCATAATGAAGTTGCAATGGACCCTATATAAAATCAGCAAAAGTAATGCAAGTTCTAGGAGGAAGCAAAAACACACACACCCATGGATGAATTAAATCGGGAATGAATAAATGGATGAATGAGCCACCTCACCCAAGAGGGATGTAAGTAGATACTTGGGAATTGAACCGAGGACACCCGGATTGGTCGGTCGAGTCAGGGTATGAAGCACGACTGGCGTCTGCAACAGCTTGGGCAGCAAGCATACTTAATTGTTGTTGTTATTATTGTTGTTGCGGCTGTTGTTGTTGCTCCATTCCTCGTGGCCATCGCCAAATTGCTGGAATTGCTTCGACGTCGACGGGGCGCCAAGGGAACAGTTCCTCTCATCGCCAGCGCTTCCTTCTCTTTGGAACTGCGGGAGCTCGTCCTCTTCGTTGCACTCTTGATCCCGAGGGCTGTGACCTGGCGCAGAGAAGCAGACGGGACGAGGCGTAAGAAGAATAATAATAATAAGAAGAAGAAGTCGAAGTCGAAGAAGGGGGGGCCTGCCTTGCTTAGGTCGCGGTTTGTAGGGTTTGTAGCGAGCGTGCGTGAGTGGGTGAGGATGTTTAGGAACCAGTATGACACGGACGTGACGACATGGAGCCCCGCGGGGCGCTTGCACCAGGTGGAATATGCCATGGAGGCCGTGAAACAGGGGAGCGCCGCGATTGGGCTCCGATCCAAGACGCATGTGGTGCTGGCTGCGGTGAACAAGGCATCGTCGGAGCTTTCGTCGCACCAGAAAAAGCTGTTCAAGATTGATAATCACATAGGGATTGCTATGGCGGGGCTCACCGCTGACGGGCGTGTATTGTCTCGGTACATGCGATCGGAGTGCATCAATCATAAATTTGTTTACGAGTCGCCTCTCCCCGTCGGCCGGTTGGTGGTTCAAGTTGCAGATAAGGCTCAGGTGATTGATTCTGCTTTCACTGTGTTCAGTTAGATTGGTTTGTGTGGCGTTTGGAGGTTTTCTTCTCAACCAAAAATTTGTCCGGGCGGAGGACATTTTTAGTGCACATATTGGAATATCCTAATTACCCTGATGCTGAGTCTAGCCACTGCGGAATCAAAATCTGATCGTCGAATTCAAAGCTTTTGGGTTGTTCCGAATCCGCTCCTCTCTCATTTAGGTCTAGGTCAAATATATTCGAATATCAGGGATGGGTGTTATCGTAGCGAACAGCACGATGGTACCATTACCAAGTCAGCAGCTTAAGCAATTCGAAAGCACTTTCTTTCTCAAGTAATAGACATCAGTACCAGGACGTACCCGGTGCACTGTAAGCCTCATTGCGTTTTCGGCATGCGGAACGCGACTGTGACTGCGCGTAAGATGAAAACTGTAGTTAGGATGGTACTCAAGATGCACTATATGAAGAAATTGGGTTGTGCTGCCTTACTGGGCTCTAAATAGCAGCAGGTCTAACGACTTTGTATTTAGGTGGATCTTTTTGTGAATTTTTCCATTTACATATCTTGTTTCAGCCAACCACAATTACTCGCTCTTCTTCTTCCTCTCATGATTGTATTTTAAGGTAACGTGTAATTTGTAATGACCATAATTAGCAATGTGCCGAGTTGTCTTCCTTTTTTAATCCCACATAGAATATCTGATCGTTTTGACTAGAATATCATCGCTTTCTTGCTGCACATTGCTGATCATTTCGTTAATCCAAAATGTTCATGTGGCAATTTTTGTGTCGTGATAATTGATTCTTGATGTGCTCAGTTCCTTTTGTTCATAAACCTTTTTTTTCCCCCATTTTCACAGGTGTGTACGCAACGTTCGTGGAAGCGACCATATGGTGTAGGTCTTCTTGTTGCAGGACTAGATGAAACTGGTCCCCACCTTTATCAGAACTGCCCTTCTGGAAACTACTTTGAGTTCCATGCGTTTGCTATTGGATCCCGTTCACAGGCTGCAAAAACATACTTGGAACGAAAATTCGAGAGTTTTATGGACTGCTCGAAGGAGGAGTTAGTTCGTCATGCTCTTCATGCTGTGAAGGAATCACTTCAAGAAGAGGAGCTTAGCAGTGCTAACTGTGGGGTAGCCATTGTTGGTGTTGGAGAACCTTTCGTTATTCTTGATTCTAAGACACTTCAGGCGTACATTGAGTCATTGGAAGGTGCCAAGGATGATCAAGCGACCAAGATTGAAGTGGAAGAGGAAAGAAATCCCGCAGTCATTGAGCGGCAGGATGTTTCAGGTGGAGGAGGCGTAGGAGTTGGTGCTGAAGGCGAAGGCCCTTCAGACATGGAGACTTGATGACAGGGTGTTTGGGGGCCATTCGAGGCGGGAGAAGCTGGTCCATAGTTTTTTGAGGTGCTAAGGATCTTACCATTTGTTGCAGACTCTCTGCTTCCAGAAATTGAACTAATCACGCAGTATTAAGTATGTCAAAGTTTCCAACATTTTTATCGTGCTGCATTAAAACCCGTCCTAATCTTACTATATGGTGCAAAACCAGGTGGTGGCCTACACACTGATCATTGTGAGGACTCTTGGTGATGCTTCCATTGTTTTTGTCTATAATGTATGTGCTTGAATATGTTTTTAAATTGGCGGTATGTTGCAGCAGCCTCCACCAACGTTTTAGGTCCGTGGTTAGACTCTAGTCTCCCTTCCGCCCCTCGTTTACATGATGATTGCTGCATCTTTTGTAGGAGTTGCCAGGAGTCTTGTGGTTTAGCTTTTATTTTTTCAATCGTCTGTCACATTCTTGAAAGTTTCCTAGTTATGGAATGGAAAACAACAGTGCATACCAGACCTAATTCCTGCTATCATAGGGTTACATGTAACGATTGAAGTTCGGTACACATTAATGTAGACCGTGTTAATTTGCATATCACGGATGATTTGAAATCACGTATGTGATTAACAACTAAGTAATATAATTTGCTTCAGCGAATTTCTGTTTGTTTTATGTCATCACAACTGAAGTGGGCATTTCGAAGTGTTCAGTCATGGCATTACACCGGTCTGTTAGGTGCATCTATCTCGTTTGTTCTCCAACGCTTTTGAAATGTGTCTAGAAAAGATGAATCCATTAGTTTTAGGGACCTGCGAGGTGAATACCCCTCTACTGCGTGGACACCCAGTGCTATGCACTCATTCACACAATTAAACTTGTGGAATTAAATAAAAAATTACAATAATTCTTTTAAAAAATGAAATTGATGAAATTTTAAAAGTGAGTGAAAGAATTACATGAGATGTATTATGAGATTTTGTGAAATTTTATCAACAAAAAAAAAATGCCATAGATCAAGCCAAATATAATATAAAAAGTATATTTTATTGTGAATTTCTCTTAAATCTTTTTGGTATAAATAAAAGTTTTACAATATATGAGTGCATGGAGGGGGGGTCCATGTAGCAATTCCCTAGTTTTAGTGTATCTTATTGATCACATCACGTTGTAACAAAGTTTGAAATTATATTCAAACTTACTAAATTTAGCATATGAATATTACAAAGCAGGGTTTTCTTATCTCTAAAAGAAGTTACATGTTCTCGCTTGTCGTTTTCTTTATTTCATATATATATATATATATATTTACGGAGGAATTCAAACAATAATTAAAATGAAAAAAGTAAAAGTACTTGGTGAAGCATGATAGAATTGTAGGTGAGTATTTGGTGAGACGAGAGCGGAGAGCTTGGAAAGTGCACGATTGACCAACGAACGAAGTGTAGAAGGACGAGGAATATGGACGGAGTTGTCAGCGAAGGGGGGGCTCGTCCGACGGAGACGCAGGGTTATCAGTAACAGCAGGTATCACATTGCGGCATTGGCAAAAGCATTAGCAGGAGGAGGAGCAGGAGCAGGAGGAGCGGGCAGGATCAGGTTGCGTTGGAATTGTGTCGCAACGCGTTGCTGCTGCTGCTGGGGATTCGGCGGAGATGGCCATGACAGCTCACCTCGGAGTGTCCCTTCACGCTCGGCCTTGTAAACTGGGCTCGTTGCAAGGCTTGAAACCGTCGGAGGGATGTGCAGTGCCGCGGAGTGTGAACCCTGTGAGCTCCGGTGCTGCCGTTGTCTCCCGGAGAGGATTGGCTCTTAGAGCTTCCCATGCAAATACTATTAGGGCTGCGAAGAAGGGAGCACCGCCAATGATGCCCGCTGTTCTCACGCCTTCCGGTCCCGTGGACTTGAGTACTCTCATGTTCCGTAATCGAATTATCTTCGTAGGATCTTCTGTGAATTCTGAGGTATGAGTTCACGAGGTTGGTTTCGGTTTTGGATTACATTTTTTAAAATCCTGATAAATCCACAATCAGTTCATCGCTGGAAAGAGTGACATGGGTATGTTGCGGGGTCTTGCTTCGTTCGGCAGGTGGCTCAGTCGGTCATTTCGAAGCTTCTGACTCTAGCTGCTATCAATGACGAGGAGGAAATTAAGGTTGAGTTACCATCCTATTGATCCTTGGCGTTGCTCTTGAAGTATTGTTAGATAGGATTGTCTCACTGTTTCTACTCCACCCCACCAGTTCCAATTGTCCAATTTGATTAGGGTTCGCCCACCCACGCATCTTCGGAGAGAAACGAGTTGGGTTCGTATTGCGATTTAGAGTGACGAGCTTCTCACACGACTTGGCTGAAAAATTGCAGATGTACATCAACTGTCCAGGTGGCAGCACTTATTCAATTATGGCTATATTCGATGCTATGCAATGGGTGAGTCACGGGATGTGGACTGAAGTTCAATTTGTAGGGGACAGCACGTGTCTGTATTCATTTGAATTCTTATTATGCCTTCCATGGATGCATTCCAAGGTCAATAACAGAGTTTGCAATAGTTTTTTTTACAGTATGTTGGTTTTATGTGAATGCAGATTAAGCCAGATGTTAGCACTGTTTGCTTTGGTATAGCTGCTAGCCAGGGTGCGCTGTTACTTGCAGGAGGCAAAAAAGGCAAGCGGTTCGCAATGCCGAACGCTCGTATCATGATTCATCAACCCCAAGGAGGCTGCGGGGTATTACTTCTCAGCTATTCGTTATTAACTTCTCGTTTGCTGTTAAGAGAGCTTGGAACTGAAGTTGTATAGTTTATAAGTTTTGAGTTTATTGCTCTTCATTCCTTGTTGCTATTTGCTGTCTCTAGACTCCTCTCCTCTCGAGTGGTCGTTACTCGCACTGACCTTGTCGATCGTGCTGTCGCATCAGTTTGTTCGCGTTCATACTGTTACCTCTCCGGTCATTCTGACAGTTTTAATACCTTCTCATTTTTGCTGGACAATCGCCATGTTTTTGGTGTTATTGATTGTCAGGGAACGGCAGACGATGTTAGAAGACAAGTGAACGAAGTCATGTCCTCTCGGGATGTAAGTCACTTGAAAGTCAATTTAGTCATTTTATCACTAGTCTCTCCACCAGTTTCGATTCATCGAATCATGATTATTGACTAGTGATACTGGCACCATCAAAAATACTGATATCTAAAAATTCTGTGCAGAAAATAGACAAGATGTATTCAACATTCTGCAATCAACCTTTGGAAAGAGTGCGCAAGTTTACAGAGCGAGATTATTTCTTCTCTGCTGCTGAGGTTCTTAATCTTTATCACATGAAGTCTCGTACTCTTCCGCGTTAACGATTGTGACTCTGTCACGGAGGAGTCTTATCTTCTGTTCATTTTTGAGCTTAGTGCTATTAGTAAGTAAAGCTATAAAAAAAGCAAGTAATATTATTAATATCAATAATAATGTGACAGCGTAATGATACTGCTTGTGGTGAATGCAGGCATTGGATTTTGGATTGATTGACGGTTTGTTAGAGACAGAATTCTAAGATTAGGCAACAATTCTTCCACGACTCCTGGGGCAGACTTTCACTGTAATCGAAACTGACAACTACAAACGTGTTCCGCATCGTACAGTTTGGTTTGTGCTCAATCTTAGACATCAATGTCATAGCTCATTTGAAATTTCCTTTTTTGAAAGCGCGTCATCAGCTGCCAATCTTCGCACAAGATCAAGGATTACACGGACTAGTACTGAGGACAGGTTCGATTATGGTGTAACATGCGCATTTGTGGTTTAACATGATGACACTTATTCTTCTCATCGAGTTAACCCTCAACTACAGCGTGCCACATCTACTGTATAATCAATATGCCAATTAATCAAGATGTTTGGGCGTGTTGCTCAGATTGCGTCAGCATTAAGCTTGGTGAGGTCTAAAATGAGAACTGCTGCTGATCTCTTACACAATTGTTGAGATTTAAAAATGACTATTTGGCATATTCATGTTGCTGTACACGATACACGAGGGAGAAGCACGAATTGTCGAACAGCTGCTACTCAAGCTTCAGCTCATGGTACTTTTTAATGAGAATTTGAAATCCAACTAGTGTACTGAACATCATAATCCCGTCCAAGTACATCTCATCCTAAGATGATTGAAACGATCCGTTCAGAATTATCATGCAGAGTTGATCAGAACAACATGCTGGCAAGCTCCTATAAACTTCACCGTGCTGAATACCACCGTAATAGTCCACTGTCGCTAAAAAGAGTTAACAACAAAGTGTTCCAAATTCAAAGGCAGAGATTTCAAAAAGAGTAAGCATGAAAAACCACCAGTTACTAGTGGTCAGCTGTTGTATACGGAATGAGAAAGACTCTTCATGGTGGACCAAGTTGATAGTCTGGTGCGAAGTGCACTGCACGGCAATAGGTTTCTTTATTCGAACTTTCAATAAAAATCCATTCGCCCCAATTTCTTTCTTACTAACCCTCGTAGCTTAAGCCGCAAATCCCTGCACAAACCCGGATACTCGCACAAACGTTGAAGGCAATCCCCACCTCCTTACTTTCTTCCGTTGAAGGCAAGCTAAATGCATGAACAAATATTTCTAAACCTAAACTTCTGTCCACCTTGGATCACAAACGCGACACTAAGATATATGATTCACAATCTACAACTCCAGAAAATCGAAGTGATGGAAAATCGAACTTCTAAAATGAAAAGAATATGTTTGACTCTGACTGACTGAGGAATCAGCCATAATATTATCATGTCAAAAAGCCCTGCAGCCAACTGTCGAAGAGGCATGATGCACTCGTAGTTAGCAACAATATGATTTTAATGTTCAGATTTTACTGAAGGAAGTCCTCAGACAGCCAGACACTATAAGAAGGCAGGCTTCACACTCTTACTAGAGCCATAAACACAAGCCGGAGGTCTCACGTTACTAAAAAGCTGTGCAGTCTATTATGAACACTTCAAATGCATGAGACGATGCAAACTGCCGAGAGTGGAGTTCAATCAAACGATGGAGCACACACTTCCTACTTTCAAATGATATTTGGCTAAGAGTGATTTAGAGTTCCAAGGAAAGCCAATTCTGACTCCCAAAGGATCCGGCCTGAGAATTTATCAATTGGAAGATTAATCGAACCTTATGTCTAGCTCACTCTCTATGCTATCTACATGCTGTGCTACCCTCTCCTCTGCCCCTCCACCCCCATTGCTTGCGACAGCGACTTCAATAGAGACATTTGAAAACAAGTCTGGCACAGACTACAGACAAAGAGATTTCCAGGTGTTCCACATTACCATCCCCCGTCCTTGCCTCCCTGCAGTATACGATGCAGTCGGAACACCTCACCTTGGCCTCCGTTGAGAAGACGCTTCTCAACATGACACGCTGTAAGCTGTCGGAGTAGCTTTTCCAATGCAGATTGAGGACGCTTTCCAGTCTTATCTACGATTGCCGTGGAGGGATTAGTGCCTAACACAAAAGCATTCACTGCATCTGCCACCACTTCCCGTTGACCAAATTGGAGAAGATAAGCCATCGGGGAATCTTGGGGCCGCTCATACGCCAATAATGCTAAACAATCATGCAGAAGTAGATCCTGGTCTCTGCTCTTTCCAAAGAATGATGCCAACTGCGATCGCGCCAGATTTACAGCATCCTCCACATGCCCCGTTCTTATCAACTCGATGAATTTCTGGCAGCGCAAAAGAAATAGGATTTTAGAGAAGTGCTCCTCCTTTTCCTGCGGGTACCATTCCTGGAGGTTTATGAGTACACCCTCCACATTGCCCTCCCTGATCAACCGCCGTAATAACTTCCGCTGGTCCAAGGCAAACATGTTGTCATCCGCCACGCCATTGGCTTCCTGTTGCGGAAGGAGCTCCCCCAATGCAATAGAACCCACGCAGCCGTCCGCACTTGCAGCCCCGCATGCCGCATCGAATGCAGTAAGAGTGTCATGGTATCCGTAGTGAACCAGAAAGGCACGCACAATGCTATGGCTGGCGGTAGGAGGAAGAGGCAAATTCTCTACCGCACATTGTCTCCGAACTCGTTCTTCCAAAATCATCGTCTCTACATCAAACAGAAACTTCCGCTGCCCAAAATTGACCTCCACTTTCTCATTGAGGCTGTGCAATCCGATGGTCGGGTACAACGGCGTCTTCACATCCTTATACACGCCCGTCAGCGCCTTGCCGTTTTTCGTGAAGAAAATCTCCTGCGCGGCATAATTGATGCCAGCGCCCACCGTATCCCCCACAGTAAACCCCTGTGCATACAGGTCTACCGACCCCGGCCCACGGTACAGCTTCCCGTCGTCTCCGTGATAGCCATAACTGTTCACCTCCCAGCCCGGCTGCCGCGAGTTCTTGAAATGCTCATCGGTGAACCCTATAGTAGTGTAACCCTTCTGCCCCCGGTCCTTGACCGTCATCTCGAAGTAGTATATCAACCGACGGCACGGCGCAGGCCTATTGGATTGAATGGCGCCAACATCATGCCCATGGCGACCATCTCCCGTGTACCTCGCCGTAAGCTTGTCCGTCGACACCACCAGATACAAGCTGCACGTATTCGTGTTCAAATGCGTCGGTTCTTCCTCCACTTCCTCCTCCTCGTCATCCAACGTCGCCCTGAACATGACACTCGAGGTCTTCTCCGAACTGTCAAAGGGGCAGAACCTCCCCGACATCGGAGACGCCGGAGACGCCAGCCTGCCCGTCTCCCCCTTGGAGCCCTGGCTCGCGTCCGCTCCAAATGCCCACCACCAACCCCTCAATTCTCACCCCCTCCAACACCGGGACAGAGCGAGCCGCATGTTTCAATCCTCTTACTCACCACATAAATTCTCCTAGCAAATCATCGCAATCTCCCGCTGCCTCAGCCCGATCGTCCCCGTAACAGCCCCGCCGTCCTGCGCCTTCTGCTCCTACTGCATCTGGCACAATACCGAATCCCCTCAAATCCTGATGTACTGATGATGGCTGAGCAAGCTTACAACCGAGACCTGCTTCGATTTCTCGGAATAGGTCGACGACAAATTAGCGGTGTCTCCAACGGACGGATGAATTTTCTCGTTCGTCCATTCCGTCACTCGTCGTACTTCGTAATGCAAGATTGCTTTGGAAGGAAGGTTGGGTGGGGTGGACCAAGAGCCTTCAACGCATGAAATCTTCTTTATGAAACAAAGGAGCAACTGTTTCACTGACTGGTTCAAACGGGATTGCTTCGCTCCCTCTTCTTCTCATCCATGCTTTCGTTTTAGCACGGCAATTTGCATATTCCAAAGCCAGATTACCATTTGGTTCTGTTTTCTTCTCTCTTAACATGTTTGGTGATTTTACAAACGAATGAGCACTCTGCACTGAGCTGTGAAAGTTCTTCCTCAGGCTTGTGGATTGCTGTTAGGGACCATGAGGTGCAACATTCAGAATTCAGTGACTGTTTTATGCCACAACTCGATATCACAAATACGGCAATCTTCAGCGTTTTGATTAGTTAAGCTCAGATTCACACGCATCGTCGTCTGCTGATTGGTGACTGCCTATTCTCGGTTCCGGTGGTATGGTGATGCATTTCTTGGAACATACACAACCGCGTTGAACAGAACCAGCAATCAATCATGAAACTCACACCGCACTATCCTTTGTGTAGAGAAACGTTGTGACGGTGCCGACGTAGAATAAATATGCACGAACATATACATATATGTTGCACGTCCATGTGCTAACTCTGCAGCTCTATACGAAGCGTAGAATAATGGATGGACAAATGCCGTACATCGTGGAGTTGTGATTTTGATGGATTAGTAAGTTCCAATTAATTTGGACAACTCAGACAGATGTATCAGCTTCAGAGGCCGCAGGAGATTGACAAGTTGGGGTATTGTTGTCGTAGAAATGGGATTGGTCCCTGGACAATTTCTCAAGCAAGGCGACGACCACGGTCATCTTAGGTCGCCGCTCTGGTATCGGTTCCGTACAGAGCAGCGCCGTTTGCAGCATGGACACCATGTCTTCCTCGATATCCTTGTGGCGCTTGAGCTCCACATCGAAGACCTCCACAGTCCACTCCTCCCGTACCACGGATTGCACCCATTTGGGCAGGTCGATTCCTTTCTCCGAGGGATGGAAAGATGCGGGGGATTTGCCAGTCAGAAGCTCCAGCATCACCTGCTCAATTCACAACGTTTGCCTCCTGTGAGCCTCTCCTCGCAGCTCACCAATTTCTAATAAGATGTATTGTTCTTCGCCACGTCGAAATCCGTTTTGAGATCATAAATTGAATTAGAGGATGAGCAATGAAAGATGCGCAGAAACTCACCACACCAAAGCTGTAGACATCGGATGGTTGAGATATTCTTTTCATGTCCGCATGTCCAGGGGCATGGTACCCAGCAACTCTTGAAGCTGCAGCAGTGGGGGACAAGATCAAAGAAAGGCCGAAATCCGCCACCAAGGGGCGATGATTTTCGTCGAGGAGGATATTTGATGACTTGATGTTCCCGTGGGCAATTTTTTGCTTCCCACATTCGCAATGCAAGTAGCGCAGAGCCTTTGCTACTCCCAGCGCAATCTTGAACCGCTGAGACCAATCTAGTGGCGTTCGATCCAGCCGTTGATTTCCTGAAAATGGAGTAAACAATATAAAACGACGGTTAAAAGTACTGCACCCAATCAAATCGCCACCTCGGTAACCGTAAGCTCACCAAGATAGTCACTAATGGGGGTTCTGAAGATTTTTCACACCATGGAGAGAATAATGGAGGCTGCCATGGGGCTCGTAGTCGTAGACCAGCAACTTCTCCTCTTTCGCAAAGTAGAACGCCCGCAATGGGAGCACATTAGGATGCCAGAGTCTCCCAATAGCATCCATCTTTAGCTCAAAATCCTTCTTGCTGGAGGCATTAACTTCCTTCATCCTCTTCACCGCAATAACGGCACAATTTTCCAACACTGCCTTGTATGTAGTGCCGAAGCTACCCTTTCCCAGCATCTCAGCAGATGCTCGCAAGAGATCGCTGAGCTCGAACCGGTTGCTGTTCTCAAAGAACACGAGATTGCCACGGTCGGACTCACTAGAAATCTTGATTGGGGAGTAGTGCGTCAAAGTCATGTCCATCTCTTCCAGCTTCTTTGGCGACTTCTCATCGTCATGCCGATGAGGGCATTTACGCCAGTAATAAGCCACTGAACTAACGGAGATGAGGAGAAACACGGCGGCATCGCCGAACACGATGGCGATGATTACACCCCTGCTTAAACCCGGCTTCCTCTTCTCAAGGTTCATTCCAGGGTCCGTACTCTGCGTAGATGGAACAGTCTTGGGCATGACACCATCACAGACTATGCTAGGAAACAGGATTCGTCCACACAACATGGGATTCTGCTGGAACGCAGACGCTCCGAATCTCTCCAGAGACGGGGGTATAGATCCAACCAGCTGGTTATGAGAGATGTTAAAATCGCTAAGATTAACCAACTGAATTGGCGGAATTAATCCAGAAAACTGGTTGCCTTCCAGCCGCAGCGTCGCCAGATGTGCAAGCTTCGAGATCGTTGCTGGGATCGGACCCGAGAGCTGGTTGTTAGAGGCTGTGAATCGCAACAGTTTGGCCATAGCTGCAATGGAATCTGGAAGAGGACCCTCGAACTTATTGTTGTGCAGGTACAGATGACGAAGATTTCGCCAGTGAATCATGTCCGGCAAGGATCCGTTAAGCGCATTATCTTTTAAGCTTAAAAGACGAAGCTGCGTGAGGTTTGACAACATGTTGATAGGGCCTGTCAGATGCATACCCTCGAGGACAATCTCCCGCACGAATCCTACTTCATCACAAGAAACACCAGTCCAACGACCAAGGCATGGGTCTCGATCTGTCCAGTTAAGAGTCTGCAGAGATGGGTCCGCGGAGAGCTGAAAAAGCTGAAGTGTATGAGTGTCCGGCGAGAGTGACGTAACTGGCGCGGCAGATTCTGCCAAAATCAACAAGCCCAAGATTGCAGCATGACTGAAGAGGCAAATTACGGGCATTGCTCCGCCCTTCCGAAACGCTCCCATCACACGGTTTATTGGGAGGTGACCATGTGATTTCCGCCTACTGCATCGTTCACCAACGCTGTTCCTAGAGTTGGCTGCCATTGCAAAAAGCTCGAAGCACGGCTATAGTGCCGTAGTTTTCCATCATCTAATTCACACAAACACCAGCACGTAAAACAATAATTTCAAAAAATAAAAAATAAAATAAAAAACTCTTCGTTTCGGTCGTCGTCAACAAAGGGGCCGTCACCGGACAGTAGCTGGGACGTCCAACTACGAGCAATGCGAGAGGATGACCAAAGCTTTTAAACAGTAAGCTCGCACATTGGAATGTGAGACACTCGACAGTATTCCGCGCAGTACTTCCAGAAACTACAAATGAGAAGACAACATGTAACCGCCAGTTTAATATAGGCAGCGACAACAATCAATACTACTCACAGCTGCAGTGGCGAAGTCGTCCAAAGGTAGATCCCTGAAGTTGTATGTATATATATATATATATATATATATATCGCAACTTGAGCTAGCAAGGAATGTTATAAAGACACAGGAATTTCCCTCCCTCGCTCTCGCTCTCGCTCTCTCTCTCCCACACAGTCTCTTCCCCGAGCTCTCCATCACCCACCCCCAGCTCTCTCAATTGCCAAGCACTGAGTTTCATAAATCCTCGATCAATCAGCACGACCTCAAGCCCAGATACTGCGTACAGCAATCCGTGAATAATCACGGATGAGTCAAATCTGGTCAACTACACCATCTTGTCACGCAGTCTCACCCGATCCCGTCACCCTCAGCACCAATTAGTACGTAACACAGCCTGCATAGCTGCAACCAGTACCCGACTGCCTGCACCTCTGGAATCGCCACCTTCCCAACAGCACCGAAACGAGATGATCCATCGACTGTCAACTGGTGGCATTTCCGAGCTGCAGTGCAAGAGAGCTTACCAGTGCAGCTGTCACAGACGAGGAGGTGCTTAGGGAGATGCGCTTCTGGCTGAGAACTACGACCCACTCAAGTCACATGCCAGCCAGCATTGCCATCGCCCAGCTCATGATGCAAACACCTCGAGCATCTCCAGAGCATCCATCAATCGCCAGCCAGCCTCTGCACTCCGCCCCTCCGAGGTACAGTTGCTGCATGCAAGTGCGCAATCGCCTCATTTTGTTCTGCGGCCTTGCGGGGGGTATCAACCGGATATCAGTGTAGTCTGAGTGGTCATAGGGGGTTGAACCTTTGCAGGCAGGGGAGGGGCCGGACCACCATTCTGGTGCACCAAGGCAGTGACTGACTGACTGAAAGACTGAGGGAGGGAGGGAGAGTATCCGTGATACGACAGGCATGGGGGTGGGCATCAAACCCCAGGGAGGAGGGGAGGGACCCCCCACCCCACCCCACCCCATGACCACGCTCTGACCTGCTCAGAGTCAGAGCTCCTTGACCTAGTCCACCACGAGACTTCACACCTCTCACATCTCAGAACATGATCAAATTGATAAATATGTGAATATGTATATATATATATATATATATAGAGAGAGAGAGAGGGATTTGTAATTCTATACTTCTATAATATATTTAAATTAAAATCAAATAGAAAGTATGTCTTTTTCATACAGCACAATTCCAAGTATTGTAGCTAATAAAAAACTATGCATTTCATGGTAATTACATCCATATTAAATTTTTCGACATTGAAAATCTGATTCTATTTCATATATTTTATTACTATTTTATTATTATTATTACTTTTGAAGTTCTTTCATGATGAAATTAGCCTTTCCATCGCATGTGAATTGGTGAGTAAATCATCTCAATGTTAAAATCCGATTTGCAAGTTTCAATTCATGTAAGTATGTGTTTTTTTCTACTACAAAGATATCACATTGATGTCTCTTACATTTCAAAAATACAAGTAATCTGGCTATGAAAATGTTAATTTGAGTAAATTGATAAGAAAGAAAGGAAAAGAAACTATAAACCAAATCAAAGTTTAAGTTTGGATCCTGATTACAATCCATGCTGTTTTTTTTTTTTTTTTTTTTTTTTTTTTTCAAATTTTATTTACAGAGATAACCATAAATGTTATTGCTATTTTTATTGTGTGAAAGATTTTTTGAGTTCTTTGTGTAAGAAACAATTTTGTCCTGGTATATTTCAACTGGGGATGTTTATGGAATATTTGAGTTATTTAATTGTAATATGCACTTATAAACATGCCTGCACTTCTATACGCCATGTGTTAACAAAAACTATGGCACCTGAATGCTCTTATCTGCATAATATTATTATAAATTTTTTAATCCTACACATTAATAATGAGGAATATTTTAAAAATATAGTGCAAAGAAACAAGAAGTAATAATAAAATTAGTTGAAATATGATTATATGCATTGAGACACGTTTATAACAACAGATACCATTATCACTTATATACAATATCTTCTAAAATCATAAATAGAGTTTGAAGGAACTCGGTATTGGTAAATAGGTAGGAATTCTTTCATGAAAATACTGGTTTCCCTGTAATAAAAAAAACACACGTTAAAAAAATCATACAGTTGCAAAACATTCTCAAGTGTGTGTGGGTGTTTCAGGATGGAAAAAGCACTGGAGATCCTTCAAACTCTAAATCTGTCAAAAGCGAGCACAACATTCTAGAGGGCAAATAAAACAACCAGTGGAGAGGGGTTCCGACGGATTCCGGCTGGAACAAGGCACCGTGATCAAGCTGCTGCTGCTGCACTAGTAGTAGTAAGTTTGAGGGGCAGGGGGCCCACTCACCCCGCCACCCAGTTAGGACAAGAGCCATGGCCTTCCTTCCTTCCTTGGTTGGGTGCATCAGCTCATGGCCACCTTCAGTGTGAGAGAGAGTGACAGGCGGCGGCACCCTGGCTTGGAAAAGAACATGGGGGAACAGGAAGAGGAGTAGTAGTAGTAGTATAGGGAGAGTTCCCCCTACAAGTTCCCGGACGTTCCCCAAAAGTGGGACTGGCACGCACAGCACACGCGGCGTCTCTCTGCCCATAACATCCAACAGAAAACATTCTGGGCCATTAAGAGAGAGAGTGAGTGAGTGGGGCAGGCACACACAGGGGGACTGGGAATTGTGTCCATGCAGCTGGCCCACTACTTCTGTCTTCCATTGTAAATCCATCTGTGTGTGTGTGTGTGTTTATAGGTATCTATCTACCTAGCTATCAATATCTACATCTATCTTAATTTATTTTGTCGATCCCCCTGTCCACCAGCCTGCAAAGCCGTTTTAGAGACCCAGCATTGAATGCAGAGTGTGGCAGACAATCCCGAGGTGGGACGAGGACGGGTCTGTCCTTTCCTGTTACCCCCACTCCCACTCCCACTCCCCCACCCTTCCCTTCTCTTCCCTTCACCCGCTCTTCTCATCATCCCCCTTACTGCTCATCAATCTCATACGACCACGGATAGATGGATGGACATACGAATGTCGATGAATATAAGGATGGATGAATGGACGGGTGGATAGACGACATCCCAACCCCCTGCATTCGTGCGGACGAGCGAATGGATGAATGGTGAACCAAATCCAATTAACTGCCACTAACAAGGCGTTTTACGAATTTCGAAATCGTAATTATGTAGTCTACGGTGGATGTCTTCCTCAACACGTGTCTTTTTGTTTTGCCCTTCTCATGGACTCTGTTGTCATTATTTATTTATTTAGTATGTTTTTTTGTTGTAGTCGGTGTAAATTCTGATACGCTCACTCTTGGGTTCAGATTTTATTTCTTAGTATTTTTGCATTCAATATGCGTTGATGTTCTTATGTAATACATTTAACAAATATGCGGTACAGGTACTTTACAAAGAAAGAATGAAAGAAAGAATACACACACACACACATATAGTTATCTTCATAGAATGATATGTGACCAATGAGAGGGTACTCGTATAAAGACTGTTAAATAAAGGCACTGTAATATTGTGATATTACAACAGTATGAAACATGATTTACAACGGTGGAATTTGAGGATTTTAATAATTTAGAAACTAGTTTTAAATAAAAAATTATAAAGATTTTTTAAAAAATATAAAAACTATAAATCAATTGAAACATTTAAAACCAATATTTTAAAATAATAACAAGAGTAATTATACAAATCATATAAGATAATCTTTTTAGAAAAAATAGTTGCAATTAAAATAATTACACTAACTAGAAACAAAGAACTAATATGAACTGCTCTGAAATTTAATATTGGGAAGATTGAAGAGTCATTTGTCTTGTCCTCATTTTTAGGAGTAATTATATTAATTTTAAAATTTATAATTACGTATTATTCTGAATTTTATTTTAAAACAGAAATCACGATTTTCTTTCCTTTAATACTCCATTTTGATATTATTTTTTAAGTATAGATAGGAACAGAAAGCTTTATATATATTAAGATAATTATACATAAACTTCAATATTAAGAAAATTCGATCTTTAATAATCAATCTCATCGTTACTAATTTTATTTAAAGATTTAATTGTATTTACTTTTTATAATTATAGGTTTTGATTCTAATTAGGTGTCTTGATAGATATTTAAATAATATATGTATCAATTTCATATGTTCTTTAGTTATATATTAAAAAATATCCACATTTATGACTAGTCATTTTATTCAGTTAGTTTTATTGTCCTATAAAAATACTTATTCAATAAGTAATTGCTTGTGAATATTACTTATATAGTTTTTATGGATGATTGTATTAAATTATTTGAGGTAAATTTAGTTAACAGTAAAGATATGTGTAATTATTTAGTTATATACATACATATGAATATATATATATATATATATATATATATAAAGGTTATTTTATGAACACAAATTATATTTTTAATATAAATTATTTTTAAAATATTAATATTTTAGTATATTTTAATATTTTTAAATTCTCATAATTTAATTTTTGTAATTAGTTATTGATAAAGTTGAACATCTATAATTAATCCCTTTTAAATCAATATCCTCCAACGATTAACAATTTATCATAAAACCAATGTAGTAGATTGGAATATAATTAATATCCATGATAGCTAATAAATATTATTATTATTATTATTATTTTAAAGTAATTGCTTCTATTTTGTTCTACAAAGCTCTATTTGTATGCATCAAAGTACATTTTGTGCAATGGCTTGGTCATCCATTATCATATCCAATATTTGAGTTGTACTCTACAAGCAACTAAGCTTCCCTTCCTTGGACATGATTACTTCTTTTGATTTTTTGTATTCATTGATTATTTTACTGTCAACATTTTATGTATAAGTAGGGGCAACATAATTGCCATGTAAAATCTCTTTGTGTATAATTTGTGCTTCTTCCATAGAATTAGGTAGATTGGTAACAGACACAAGGTGGTGCACTAGGAGCTAGTTAATTCCTTCTTGAGGTTCTTATTTCAGTTGATATTCTTCAAGTTTAATTTTATACATTGAATCTGTTAAATTTGTCGTAATTTGGAACAGTCAAGTATTGAGATAGAAATTTGTGTTTGTTCCAAAGATTTTTTTAATTTAAAGGTGCCTTGGTCCATATCATTTCAACTATCTAACAACTTTCTAAATATTTGCTTCTTAACATTCATCCTTTGCAATTACATCTTAAAGTTTATAATTAATAATACTTATTATTAAATGTTTAAATAATATTAACATTTATAGATTGGATTTTTGATGTTATGCTTGCAAGCAACATTAATAATATAGTGCTTGTCAAC